AAAAATTATGTAAATAAATTAAATAAAACTTCTCTAAAATTCCGCGTAATCTAGCATGAAATAAATGTTGTATTCCATTGTTGTTTGTTTAATGGGTACTATATAGCCGTGTTTTATTTGTGTTATTAGTTAAAAGATAAATTCTAAGGAAACTATAATGTCAAGAATTGAAAAGGTTGAAGCACGGAATAGAGAAAACAAGTGGAAATGCCATGAGTCCCATGAGGGCGTAACCCGACGACCACAGTTAAGTGAAAGCAATATGAGTTCCTAAGTATATTTTACAAAATGAATTAATTTTACCAAAAATGGAATATTTTATGTGAAACAAATTCAAGCGGCAACCTAATTTATGTTTCATTTTTTTAATGTTTTATGTGATATGTGAACGTACGGTGGTGAAACTTTTGAATAAATAAATAAATAGCTACCGATCAAGTCGGGGTCCGGCCCTCTCGGGCATCCTCCAATTGGTTTGTTAAACGGTCATTGAGTAACAGCCCAAGTTAGTTACTACATGAATCGGCCAAAGCGACCTAAGTGCTTCTAATCCGGTTTAAATAGAAGTAGTGACTCGAGCTTAGTCACTCATAAACAAGGTTTAGGCTAGGCGCCCGTAGCGCCCTGCCACTTCAAGCCCGGTGGATCTGTAAAGGCCCCTTGAAGGCCGACAGTGAATGATCCAACCAAAAAAGCAGGCTCAAACATTTTTTATTGTTGTACCGAAACTAGATTTCCGAACATTACAGAGTTTTTACAAACTCGATGTCCTATCGCTGCCACCAAATGTTATAACGGACTTTTAAAATGTCATAAAAATGAATTTAAAATTAAACACTTGTTTATTCACTCAACGAAAGGCATAGTTTACACGGATGTACCTAAGCTACACGATTATTTATGAAACTCGATAAAGGTGTGTCGCGGATGGTGATTGAAACTGAACTGAGTTGTTATTCGGTAAAACAGTGATACTAATTCGCGGAATTATTTTGAGTTTTTGTGTACGGAGAAATCTAACGGAATATAAAAGTAGCAGAAATTTCACCATTTTAGTATGCAGGATTCGGCTATAATAGGACGAATAGACATGTCGAAAAATTAAAAAAGGTAACTTTAATATGTCAACATTATTTAACAAGTATCAAAATAATGTCACATGGTTAGCCAAAAAAGGGAAGAAAAAGAAAAAGAACACATGGTTTCATAGTTTTACATTAAATTCATGGTATTTTAACTAAGTGACGTACATATGGACAACCCTACATAATTTCAATTAAAATGTAATAAGATCATTTGTCAATAATTTTATAGTCCGGTATCCCATCATATTTCGGTAAGTGTTCTATGTTTTTATGAATCTATATATTATTTAAAAATGAATCCCTATTTCCCTTGGTCACGCCATCACGCGTGAACGGCTGGACCGATTTCACTTTTTTATTTTTGTTGTATTTGTTATTATCAGGAGAAGGTTCTTATGAAAGAAAAAATTTGAGAAATTGCGCGGAAAATTAGAAAAATCTTGAAAATCCATGTTTTTCACATGGCCAGTTATATGTCGCCTGTTCCCGTGTCGGAATACCATCAAAACTATTTACCTATATACGCGCAAGAAAAAAAAAACAAGAATATTGTATATCAGAAAGTATTAGAATAATAAACACAATTTTTTTTATTAATTATACCAATTCGAATTAAATAGTCATCGTTAAGACAGGACAACGTCTGTCGGGTCAGCAAGTATTATATAAATATGGGCGATGGATAAATCAATTACATGGTAAAGTCAACACTTTCATAGGTCCAGACAATCGTCTAAATCAAAAAATTAAAAAAAATTCTTCTTCGGACGCAGAGCCCATAGACAGAAATTAAGAGAAAAATGATTCAGTTGTGTTATTGCGTGATTAGAGCGCTGAAACTATATGATAGAGGGAGATGATAAATTTTTATGGCAGTAATAAACATCACTGCTTTTGATGACGCCCTGGCGCAGTTGCCAAGGCTTTGATTTCGTCGTAGGGGTCGTGGGTTTGATTCCCACGCGGGACAACTATTTGTGTGACCCACAGATAGTTGTTTCGCTTCTGAGTATGTAAAACGTCCTTACAACATAGGATAATTGGTATCATAAAGTAAGGGCAATGTTTAAAAAAAAAAAGACTATGTACTGCAAGCCGTTGTCGCGTGCCTGCGTGTCGAGTTTAATGAAAGAAAGATGCTGGAACGCGGTACGATCGAAGAACTGTAAAAAGACCCCCTAGACGACTTCAAGCATATGGGCTCGGTTCTGCCCTTACGACCTAAGGGATGGCAGGTTTTTGTCCTCTTAGTACCAGACTCGGCAGAGATCAAGCCGAATTGAAATTACAGCCCAGGAACGAGGTCAACTTAAGTTTATCCATAAGCATTAAGCTCGTTGCCGCTTCTTTCTCGTTCTCCAGAATTTGAAGAACCGTGGAGTCTTTTCACCCCAAAAGTTCACCAATGTCATCCAAAAACATGTTACCAAAATTCCAATGTTCTCGTTTGTCACCGCAGGTCCTGCATTGTACGGGCCAAAAACAGACATTTTTAAACTGACGCTTAAGAGGCAATGTCTGCCCTGTCTGCGCGATTACCAACTACTTACTCAGTTACAGGTAAACGAGAAACCGTTACGAACCAGATGCGGTTGCACAAAAATTGCTTTTAAAAATATCCCGCCAAGTGCGAGTCGGACTCGCGCACAAGGATTCCGTACCATGTTTTTATTCTTTTTTATAGTATTTCTTGTTAGAGCGGCGACAGAAATAGATCATCCGTGAAAATTTCAACTGTCTAACTATAACGGTTCATGAGAAACAGCCTGGTGACATACAGACAGACAGTGGAGTCTTAGTAATAAGGTCCCGATTTACCCTTTGGGTACGTAACCCTAAAAAGAACGATTTCTTCATTAAAATTGGTTGGAGTGACGACCTGTGCAAGTGTGCAAGTGTGTGTTTGATTTGATTTGATTTGATTTGTGCGTGAAATCGATAGATGCAAGTAGTTTCGGTCATGCTTCGTGACTGTCTGTGTGGGAGGTCTAATAGTGGACTTAGGCAGACTGAAATGATGGTGATGATTGAAATGATTAAACCACAGTTATATTGAATAAAATAAAAAGTAAATAGATTTTTTTTAAGACTATCTTTAAGGCTTACTTGAATAAGATAAAAAGGAAATGGAATTTTGTTTGGGACTATCTTTAAGGTCTACGCGTTAAAGATAGCACAGCACAGTTGCCGAGGTATTTACTCCGGCGCCGGGGGTCGTGAGTTCGATTCCCGCACGTCACAATTATTTGTGTGAGCCAGAAATAATTGGCTCGTATCTTGGTGTTTGTTCACGTGAAGTTTATGTTTGTAAAACTTTCTTATAACACATAGTAATGTTATCCTACGTTAAGGCCAAAGCTTTTAGTGGGTCCTTCTCTGGGTCCTCACATTAACTCATGACGAAAACTGCTGACATGTCAGTGTAAAGCATACGCAGCAATCGATGTATATGTGGAGCACAATCAACCATACAGAAAGCAGAAGCCGCCACTCCAAGAAGCTGACTGTAGCACAGTTCTATATACGAAACAATGAGCCAAGTCTTGACGCGTGCAAAGTAGGAGCTGTTAAACCTTGCTCATAACCAGGGCCGGATTTAGAGGATGGCAACCGGACCATCAGCCCCGGGGCCTCCACAAACAAGGGGCCCCCACAATAGAGACTTCGGAGAAGAAAAATTCAAATTCAGACTAATAAAATAGTAAACAACAATTCCTTTCATATTTTTTTCGCGTTTTACTTTTACCGATAGTACTTTGTACAAATTTGATTACATTAAATATGAATAGAAATCAATAGAAAATAATTTGGGGCCACCATAGGAATGGGGCCTCCATTCCTATGTTGCCCCGAGGCCTGGCCCTGCTCATAACGTAGTCCCCGGTAGAGTTGACGGTGTCGCTGTTTACTTTCCAGTGAGTTATGAGGAGGTAGAATCTGGCCACGACTGTGGCCTTGGCCCTCCAGCGATGACAGCGCCACCGCTGACTAATCGCTGAAGCCCGCCGCCGGATGCCCCGACGACTGCTTATTTTGTGTTATAATAATATTTAATGCCGTTGAAAATTTATTAGCATGTGTTTTTGCCTCTACTTATGTATCACAATAAAAGATGCAATACACAATGTTTATTTAATCATTTTCCGCTCCTCGTCGATTGCTAAAAACTCTGCAGCGACCGTCTTTTTAATGGTTTTAATTAAAATTATTGTGACTCTTAAAATTTCATTGATGGAGATCGAACTCCGGTTGCTTGAGTAAATTGAATTAAAGACGAGCGCCCAGACACTGAGCTAAAAAAAAATTGTGAATGAAATTAGGATGGTTCCTTGAAAATATTCCTTTCCAACAAAAATTATTAACTTGTCCAAATCGACTTTTATAGACCGACTTCTGAGATAATAAACAATAAAATGCAAATTTATTTAGAACCTACTTTCTGACGTCTGTTGCTATTTAAAAAGAATACCTTTTACTCTGTCTTCATGATTTACCAATTATATCAATGTGTCAGAACAATGTCATGAAAGGATCCGTTAAATATCCGTCCATAATCCGTCTATTTAGATAAATAAAACTATCATGTTCCCAAATTTTAAATTAAAATCATGACATAAAAACTATGTCGAATATGTTATAAACTAAGCTTCTCAACACCTTTCAAAATGTAATAATAATATCTCCTGGACCACATAACTGTAAGTACTTTATGAAACTTTACGAACGCTTGGTAAAGTCGGCGTTTTCTAGTAGTCAGCACTTTACATCCATTGTTCGTTGCTCGTTTGCATCCATTGTTCGCCGCTATATTAACTTTACGCCATTGTTTCCTATGTATCTTACTACGTCAAGAAAGATATCTAAGGGGGAGGACATTTCAATTTCAGTAATAAACAATACTAGACAAAGCCTATAATGCCGCTCCGAGGATACAGGAGGAGGTGCAACAGGAGAATGGCGTGTTGCATGCCTTTGCCGCGCGCCTGCGTCGACAGTATGCCTCGTTACTACATGCCCCATTACCCCATATACTACCCCGACCCCCCCAATCAACCACACGCTCCAGCGTCCAGCTCAAGCCAATCCGACTGCTCCTGCGGCGAGGAGAACTTTTGCACGATAGATAGCTGCAGGAACGCACCCATGTGCCTAAGGACGCGACCGCAGTTTTGCCCTTACGGCCTCTGCGACCGAATCGACGGCGAGTTTCATCGCCCGCGTAGCGCTGCCCGACGACTCAGTAGGGTTCCAGCCGAAACCGATTATCCACGTGGACATTACAGCACCAGAAACGAGGCCGCGAGACCAGTCTATCCACAAGGCGCTTCTTCTCCGCTTCAATCGCCTTCTCCGGAATTTAGGAGGACCGCTGAAAACCAATGGCCTAACATGTCAAGATATAGACGGGAGTTTCCCGAATCCTCCGTACAGGACAACTCATATCCCCCTTTTCAGAGGTTCACTCAAACACGCTTAAGCAACGCCATGCCACAATTTATGCACACGCTACCCGGACCACAATATTCGCAATTACCACTGCAACCCCCTGCATTGTACAGGCCACAATCAGACATATTTCAATCCCGAGCTCATACGGAACAGGCAGCCTTTGCACCATCTGCGCAATTGCCAGCAAATGACTCGGTTACGGATAGCCGCGAAGCCTTTAGGGAGCACAGTCCGATGTACTTCGACCAATCGTACAGTCATGTAGGCCCCGGAGAAAGCCGAAAAGAGCCGCCCCAAGAGGCCGACTGTGCAAGAGTTCGATCTACGAAGCGTGGCGTCAAAAGTACGTGCTGCAAAAACAACACATATCACGACGATGCCCCTGATACTGCTGACGGTGCCGGTAAATTCCCGGTCAGGTATGAGAAGGAGGTAGACACGGGCCGAATTCAAGACGTCGCACGGCCTACGGTGATGGAAACTCGTGGAAATTTTGCTGACATTGGTTACTCTGATCCTCCTGTACATTCTCCGACGATGCCGAAGCAAGCCCACCTCTGCTGTAGCCCAACGCCAAAGGCACCTGATCTCTCTACCAGATCCGCCACGAAGGGTAGCGTGTTGGATCTATCTAAGTGCCCGTGCCGTTATCCGCCGTCATATAAACACCTAAGCTGCAGCGGTAACAACAGCGGCTCTTGTGAATGCGACCAACAAATGCAGATTGAATAAATCAATCCTTATACATCCGAACCACCGTGGCTGCAAATTTTGAGTTAGATGATATTTATTACTTATAACATTTATTACTACTACTTATAACATTAATTTTTATAACAATAAAAATTCCCACTGTAATAAACATCTTTATCCATTCTTATAATTTAATTTTTGAATTCTTATTATTTATTCTTATGTATTATAATAAGAGACCATATAAAATATAATTTTAATTAGTTTTCCTTTATAATCAATTTTTAGTTTTCTTTTATAATCAATATTTTAATGCACGAATGGGCAGGCGCGTCTCACAGAAGTATAATAGGTATTTCTTTTTTTATTTTTTTTTTTGGCTTTCCAAACAATTTCATTTTTTTTCATTTTCTACAAGTTTTAAACATCAGAAATGAGACAAGCACTATAAAAATCATTATCAAAATATCAAACAGAGAAAGATGAAAAAGTGGTCATTTGCAGCAAAGGAAACACATTACACAGTGACAAGCATTGCTTAAAATACATTAAAAACAAAAACGTTGAATAAAAATACATTGAGATTTTTGACGGTACGGCAATCAGCCATTCAGCTTATTATTTAAAACGTCAGGGCGCGTTTCCGGAATACATGGGTTCGATCCCCGAAGCAGCGACAAACTTTACTTCTAATTTCATACAAACTTTAAAATTTAATTTGAGTGGATATTAGAACTATAAAAAACCGGTCCAGTGCGAGTCGGACTCGGGTTCCGTACCATTATCTATAAACAAACTATCACGGTTCATGCGATACAGCCTGGCGACAGACGGAGACACATACAGACAGACAGCGGAGCCAGTAATACGGTCCCGTTTTACCCTTTGTGTACGGAACCCTAAAAATTAGTTTCATTCAAATAAAAGGGGAAGTTCAAAAGACACTGTTTTCTTTATGATCATTTATTGACGCGCAGCGAGTGTTCTAGTCTACGGGTAGCTGTAGGACTTGGCGTCCAGACCCTCGTTGCTCAGCTGCTGCCCCACCCAGCCGTGGAGGTTGGGCACGTTCACGTAGACCCCGGGCACGTCCTTCGCGCCGCATTGGAGCCCGTAGGCGACCATTCCGTAGACGGCGAAGCGCGAACCCTTAGTCATTCAACTTAATTTAGTTCAAACAAATAATGACCATTATTATCCATACTATCCATACTATCCATACTAATATTATAAATGCGAAAGTAACTCTGTCACTCACGCCAAAACTACTGAAACGATTTAAATGAAATTTGGTACGCAGATCGTCTAGAGCCTGAGAAAGGACATAGCCTATTTTTTAATGGGAAACAAGTGTTGTTGGTTAAAAGGTTAAAGAAAGATATTTATTTAATGGCTTCAACGCGAGCGAAGCCGCAGGCGAAAAGCTAGTAATAAATAATTAAGGACACATTTTTACACAACGTTATCTAGTCCCAAACTAAGCAACGATTGTATTATGGGTATACTAGATAACTGACAACATACTTAAACATACTTTTCTTTTGTAAATAAATACATATTTTACATACATAAACACCAAGAAACTAGATAAACACTATGTTCATCACACAATATTTTTCCAGTACTGGGGATCGAACCCAAATCTTCTGACGCAGGAGACAGGTGTACTATCCACTATGCCATTCGGGTCGCTAGTATTATTCGTGTTATGTTTCTTTTAATAAATTGCCCCGGTTACCTAATTCACCAGACGAAATCAGAAGTATAACAGTCCCACTTCATGACGGTCTTCTGTGTGGTTGTGGTACATACCGGGTGTTGCAGGAATGGGCACGCCAATACGTGCAACAGTGAACACTTGCGTGGCCCTACCACAGTACTATCAGCATTTAAAAGATCAAATATAATGATATCGATCCACCTTCAAACAAACGAAGATTTTGCTGTGGTAGAAGACCAGGTAACAGTCTACGCTGTTGCACGTATGGGCAGGTCCGTCGGGGGAAATACCACGACCTCACAGAAGACCGGCGTGAGGTGGAGGATATACTACTGAGTTTCGTCTAGTGAGTGAGGTAGCCGGGGCCCACTTTATTAAAAGGTGGCAACGCATCTGCAACCCTACGCGTGTTGCAAATGTCCATGGGCAACGGTTGTCGCTTAACAAACAACAAGTGTACTGACAGATCGCTTACAACAATCTCACATAAAAAACATGAAGCATTGCAACGTTTTGCTAACGTTTATAAAGTATTCCTCACGGGCTGTGGAAAGTTCTCTAATTTAGGCGCAATTTAGGGCCGTGATATTTTTATTCAACTCGCGAATTCGTTTTATAAGCGTTGTTTCTTAAAATGAAACAAAATCGGCCGGCCCGATACTTACTGTGGAATCAATGGGGCAGACGAGAGAGGAGCCGCCGTCCCCTCTGCAGGTGTCAACACCCTCCTCTCCCCCCGCGCAGAGGAGGGACTCGTGCAGGCGGAACACCCTTCCCAGCCTTGTATTCCTCAGCATTTCCTCGCACCGATCCTTCGGGACCAGCGGTAGCTTCACCTGCAGGACATCAGAGGCGAAAGATTGCATTTGGAACTCGATAAACACGGAAAGTAAAGAGTTAAAGTGAAATTATCATTAACATCATGGGCCGTGATAGCTCTGTCCGGGTGCTCGCCTTTAATTCAATATACTCGAGCAACCTGAGTTCGATCCTTGGTGCTGGCACCAATGAAATTGTTAATTTTACGTGCTGACTTATCACGGGCTCAGAGCGGCGAAGGAAAACATCGTGAGGAAACCTGCATTTTTTCGAAATAATAAAAAAAATATTACGAAGGTATGTGAAGTCCGCCAATGCGCAGTGGGCCGCGTGGTGGACTATGTCCTGATACCCTCTGTACAGAGAAGGCCTTTGCCCAGCAGTGGGACATGTATAGGCTGTTACTTTACTATCGTTCGTCGTTTCCTGACATGAAGTGAAAATGATAATTTTCTTAATCTCTCTAATTCTAAAGGTACGCATAGTTTGCTGTACAAAATTAATAATGGAATCTCCTCCCTCACCTTCTTCAGTATGGAGGCGAAGACCTTCTTGTTCTTGAAGTCGGCAGCACCCCAACCCATGCTGAAGCAGTTGGCGCTCGGCGGCGGCGGCCGAGGGGCGAGGCACGCTATGCCGATATGTGGTGCGTTATCCAGCGCCACGGGGCTCTCCAGGAACAGCAGCCCGATGTCGTTGTACAGCGACGCTGGAAACGTCCGATTCCCGTAACGGATCGACCGCTTTGCAGGGCTGGCAACTTGTCGCCCAATTCTTAACGGGATTAGGATTAGGGCCTTATTTTACCGACCTCTCGTCAAGCAGCCGACGGCCGATCGTTACTTAAAATTAACACGCTGCGAACCCGAACATTCGAAATCAAAATTTTTTTAGATAAATAATATATATAAATATTTTAGGACACATTTTTACACAGCGTTCTCCTGTTCCAAACAAAGCAACGCTTGTACTATGCGTACTAGATAAGTGATGAATATACTTAAATAAACTTTTCTTTTGTAAATAAAATAATTCAGCAGTAGTGGGGATCGAAACCACACCGTTGGGTGCAAGAGGCAGGTTCACTACGCCGGTCGGCTCATATCATTTTTATTAAATATTTGCTTATTTTACGCTCTTATTGAACGTCAAAAAACTAGCAGCGGTTTACCAAATTAGACTTGTCCAGAAAAGAATCTGATTTTTGCGTATGCTTTACACTGTTGTGTCAGCGGTTTTCGTCGAATCCAACTCCATCCTATATCCTACTAATGAATATCCTTCTTTTTAGTGTTACATGGCGACGCTTGTTTTTTAACTACCACTTCGGAAAGCGTTGGCGCTGGGAGAAGAAGTGGCGGAAGAAACTCCAGCAACGCTTCTATCATTTACTGGGGAGAACCTGTCAGGTATGTGGTATATGTGGTACATAACCTGGTATATGTTTGCCGTACTCGCCGGCGAGTGCGGTGTGTGTTGGTGTGCTTGCGTAGTTTTTTAATCCTGTCTATGGCGATAGTCGTCTCATCGTCAGGGAAATCGAGAACGTATAGGAGTAGGGGCTTGTAAGTGCTGTCACGATTAACGAATTGGGGTGTGCGGCGGATTCGAAGTATCGGCACCGACTTCAGGAAATAGGCGATGGTGGGCAACTCTAAATCGACATGTAGGTCAATATTGCGCATGAACTAGGGTGCTCCCGTAGTTTTGCGTAAGAATCGATTCTGAATAAACGAAGTAGTTGAAGTACATCGATGTAACTATTCACGAGAACTGCTGCCGACAAACTGCATCACGGTTTGGCAGACAATAATTTATGTTATTGTACTTTATTACTGGATTAAATAAATAAATAAAAAATAACCTGAAGCCGGTGTATTTGCTTCGGAGCAATGTGCGCCTTTAGGGAGTCAAAAATGTTGTCGGAGGAGATGTTCCGAGGGATCTTTTTGATGACGACTCGGAGGATTTGGTCCTCTGCGAGCGTGAAGGTGTGGTAGTACACCTCATTTTCCCTTAGAAATGGCGGTGGGTGACGGATGTTTCTAGCTGCAGCTCAATGCCTTGGCTAGTTGTGGTGGTATTTAACCCTATTTGAAAGGGCAGACGCTATCATAGGCAACTTTTCGGTGGTCTGTATAAATAGGGGCGGGGGGCGCTTGTCCTGCATGTAGGTCGATGTTGCGCATGAACCAGGGTGCTCCCGAATCTCTGCGCAAAAATGGATTCTGAGTGACCTGAAGCCGGTGTATTTGCTTCGGAGCAACAGGGCGAAGTACTGCCTTATGTAAAGTCACCTTGTTCCGAAGGGACATTTTTGACGTTTTGTTGAGAAGCGGATAGAGGTGACTGAGTACGAAGGCCGCCCGGTTTTTGACCCGAGTCACGTGCTGGCTGAATTTGAGCTTGGAGTCAAGGACGACACCTAAGTAAAGTAAAGTAACAGCCTATACATGTCCCACTACTGGGCAAAGGCCTCCTCTATACAGAGGGTATCAGGGCATAGTCCACCACGCGGCCCCACTGCGGATTAGCGGACTTCACATATTTTTTGTTATTATTTCGAAAATATGGTGGTTTCCTCACGATGTTTTCCTTCATCGCGGAGTACATGATAAGTTAAAAACTTCATTGGTGCCGGCAACGGGTATCGAACTCAGGTTGCTCGAGTATATTGAATTAAAGGCGAGCGCCGGGACACTGAGCTATCACGGCTCTGTCACCTAAGTATATTACTTAATTTTCCCACGGAATCGGAATATCCATGAGTTTGCATTTTTGTGCAATGAGAAGTAGACGACCGCGCTTTTGGGGGATTGCTCTCCATTTCCGGAACTAGTCACCGATGGTGTTGGCCGCCGATTGGAGGCGTCGATGGATCATTTTTGGCATTTTGCCTGACGTATAGAGATAGGTGTCGTCAGCAAAGAGGGCAAGTTCTACACCTTTGACACACGGCATATAGTTTGTGTAGAGCGTAAACAGGACTGGGCCCAGAATCGACCCTTGAAGCACCCTGGTTCGAACGGGATGCGTTGACGAGCACACAAATATGCACATGCCAGCAAGCGAAATTTAATTGACATTTTAAGTCTATTATCGAGATCTAAGGAACTTATGTGCCGTAGGTTACTTATGAGAAAAAGATTTTAACGTAACCAACTCGATTCTATGAATAGGACTTCAGTTAGAAGGTCCATAGTGATTGATGTCAAAATTTTGTGTCATCTTCGCCATTGAAATCATTCGTACTCACGTCTGAAATAGTTCTCGTGTGTGACGATCTTCCTCACATTCCTGTCTTGATGGTCGTACAGTTCCTCTTCGGAATTCGTGTCCCAATCGCCCGCGCGGACCATTATCTGTGCACAAACATAGGGTATAACAAAATAACATATTTAAAATTTATTCTTTAAAAAAAAATAAGAAATAAAGAAAGCAATGATGTGGTATAGAAAAAAAGTAAAAATAAGTGTGTAAAAGATCGAGAGATTATACACAAGAATTGCTCGTTTAAAGGTATTAGATACCTTTTTTATATTCCTTTCACTTTTAACACTTGTTTCGGATGATCTCTGGGCCGATTAGTAGCGAATTCTTCTTTATTTAAGTCTGCCTATACGAAAGATTTGTGAGGACGTTTAAATAAATAAGAAAGTATGATACGGAAAGAGATAGCTGTCTATAGAACTGCAATCCTTAGTTTCGGTGCGCTAGTGTGGTATCTACCTCGTATTTGTGTACCTGTGGTGTGATTGAACTGAAAGCCTAAGCGCGCACCTGATTGGGCTGTCGCTTCTGTAGCTTGTGGGCCACGGTCATCACGACGGCAGGATGGATCAACGACCCACCGCCAATGTAGTTCTCCTGCTTCCAATCTTCGTCGTCTGAGCGTCTGCGAACAGCCATCGGTATCAGTTATTTCGTTTATTTTGTTTTTGTTTTCCATACATCGACGTGTCCAGATAATAAATATCTGTTACGTCAAACATCACATAAGCTCTACAGGGTTCCTAGCTCTACAGGTACAAATTCCTACCTAACCGTCTCAATACAATAATCTATTTACGAGCACTAAAACCGTTCGCTGAACGCATAATTACTAAACCGCTTATCAATGGTGACCACTCTTAACGGGATAAACAAAAAATGTTTGAATTGATATTTTTCTGGCTATTTCTTGTCAAGATAAAATATTAATATTTTTTTTGAATTATGGAATGTTCAATTAACATTATGTCAAAGTACGTACTTCGTCTAAATAATCACCCTGTATACTGTAAACACATTCTTATAGTTGTAGATCTTTCTAAGAGATCCTAAAAATTTAAGGCCGCCGTAACCGTTCGCTGAAAAGCTTCCAAGAATATTACGTTACTCCGTGGCGCATTTACAAAGGTATTGGGTTGGATTCCCAAACAGAACAACTTTAGCATCGAAGCCAATTCAAATTCTATTTCAAAATCAAATATCTTTATTCAACATATGGGCATTACACTCACTTATTGATGGTCAAAACATGACCACCGGCTCGGAAAAGAAAAGCCACTGACCTGAGAAGAACCGGCGAAAGAAACTCAGCAGGATATTTTTTTGTACTATTATTTAAGAAAAATGTTTACTAATGTATTGAAGTCCACTTGAAAGAGCCTAGATCGATCAATTAATTTACAGGTTGTGTTTTTTTTTATGTAAAATGTTGCCAAACGATCAGACGGTTCACCTGATGTTAAGTGAATACCGCCGCCCATGGACAACTGCTACATCCGAGAGTTACAGATGCCTTGACAACCTTTTGAAAATTGGGCTCCGGCTACCTCACTCACCACACGAAACGCGAAAGTATTTGTCATACTTCCACTTTACGCTGGTCTTCAGTGAGGTCGTGGTACTTACCCGGACGGGCCTGCCCATTCGTGCAACAGCCGAGGCTGCTGCGTGCCCTACCACCGTAAACATTACGTTCCTTTTGCAATTTTTTTGAATCTAGAAATTGATACATTGTGAACTTCCCATATGAATCCAAAGAATTACTGATTCTACGCGGTCTAGTTGTGGGTAGAATTAATTTATGTTTGTTCTAGTGTGTATTTATATCATGCGTCTTGAAATTTCATTCCTGTATTTACGGACATACGTAACATTTTCAAGTATGTACTGAGAAGCAACAATCAACATTTTAATCTCTTTGAACAAATATTGATTGGGCAACGGACGAACGACCGTTTGGGAGCCTTCAACAGCTTTGCGATTCGGCGTTTCTTTGATACCACCTTGCACCGTTTACCATGTAGATGAACTAATTGGAATAAGCTGAACCGTTACGGCCCAGTAGTAGTGGATATAGAGGTATTCGATGACTCCGTAGCCCAGTTTACACCACAGTCGCCCCCCGGGACAACTATAATTGTGTGATCCCCAGACAATTGTAATTTCCCCAGAAAATCTATGGATAATTTAAACCCGCGTTAAGGGCAATGTTGAAAAAAGAAAACCAAAAAAAACGTACTTAAGCACAGCGACCATCCAGGGATACTCGCCGAAGTCCGCGTAGAGCCTATCACTCGGGGACCCTCCGTCCCGGACCGGGAACGCGTGGACGCCGGGGTTGCTGTAGCCACACTTGCCGACGGCTCCGGAAGAAGGGGAAGCGATGGAATTATGGGCAATGGTCTGAGTAAACGTGGCGCTGGCGGCGCCGTGCGCGCCAATCGACTGGGCTTTGTTCATCTTGTCCTCTTCTAAAGTCTGTGCTGGCGCCGGGGTGGAGATAACGTGCGTGCGCAGGCAACATGTATCCAATAAGTTTTGGCACTCATTCATGGCCCTGCAACGGTGTGTTACATTACAACAGTTTAAAAGGCCATACGAAATGTCAAATGAGTTTCTTTTTTTTTTACGTGAAAAGTGGCCAATCGAGCAGATGGTTCACCTGATGTTCAAAGTCAAAGTCAAAGTCAAAATATATTTATTCAATATAGGCCCAACTTAAGCTCTTATTGAACGTCAACAAAAATCTACCACCGGTTCACTAAACTAGACCTGCACAGAGAAGAACCGGCAAGAAACTCTGCGGTCTTCTTCTTTTTGTTATATATATATATATATATATTTTTTTTTAATGCAATTATACACACTTATTTGGGTATAAAATCAGCAGCAGCCAGGGGTCTTGCAAGTGCAGAGCAAGAGTCATTTCCAAACATCCTTGTCCTCTATGTATTCTTGGATATTATAGTAGGCCCTTGCCATTAAGGTAGCTTTTACAAATTGTTTGAAATTGTTTATACTTAGTTGTTTGTGGATGTCACCTATTTTATTGTTAAAGTTGATGCATCTTCCAAGAAACGACTTTCTGGTTTTAGCCAATCTAAACCTCGGTACTTCCAGAGTGTCACCACGGCCCCGACGCGATGTGGATGTTAAGTAAGTACCGCCGCCCATGGACATCTGCTACACCCGAGGGTTCCAGATGCGTTGACATCCTTTTGAAAATTGGGCTCCGAGTGCTTTCATTTGTAGATCGTTTACATGTAGGGGATGTTGAGATAAAAACAAAGATTCGGAAATGCCAATGAAGAAGGTCGTTGCATGAATTAAATTATAACTTATATAAATACATCTATTGTCTGAAACTAACAACAGCGTGTTCAGACAGAGACAGAGATGCGAACTTGTGTGATCCTACAGGTACAGTTTATTAAAATAGTTATTTTTATTGTGCAGCCGAAAAAGATCCTTGAAATTCGATGGTTCATTGGAGACGAAGAAAAAAAAGACGAGAGAAGTTATTTTGATTTTTTTCAACTATTGATGTATAAAATAACGTCGAGGTATCCTTTGCTTGTTCTACACTTGTGACTCAAGGGCGGTTTTCGGGTTTCCGCGTGATCATGGGTAATCCTTATCCCACACTTGGTGAGGTCGGCACAGCCAATCCATCATTTATTTTCGGACCCATGTTGTTATTTCAGTTATCGGCTTAATTTTTATGACCGGCCACCTGCCTGACGTCAACCCGCCTTGGGAATTCTAGCGAATTTATCTAACCTAAAATATTTTACACTTAAATCGTTTCAAAAAGGGAACTGTTGTTCTGATCGTCGTATCCTCTCTAGATGGAGTTTATAAATATCGATATATCGATATATTTCTTCACTTTCGACATCCCCAGTCTTATTGACTACTCACTAACAAAATTACATTACATAGTATAAATCAAAGTCGTCCCGCTGTCTGTCTGTCCCCATACATGCTTAGATCTTTAAAACAACGCAACGGATTTTGATGCGGTTTTCTTTAATAGCTACAGTGATTCAAGAGTAAGGTTAGATATGAAGCGTGTCGTTACCATCGCGACAATAAATGAACACACGATATATAGGTATTTATAGGTAAGGGTGTTCTAAAATTATAGGTAAGGGTGTTCTAAAATTCCTTGTTTTGGAAAATTTAATAACTGTAAATATTGATGTTTAAAGAATGTAAATGTTTAATACAATTTTAAAAAGTTATCCCCTATATGTGTGTTCATTTTCGCGATGGTAACGACACGCTGTATAATACATGCATAATATAGTAGAGAAACACTGATAATTTTAGATGTTTCTAATGCGATATCTAAGACAAACATGCAGCATTGCACCCGTGCGAAGCCGGGGCGGATCGCTAGTAAGCATTAAAGCGAACATGAATCATAATTTATAAAAGTTAAAGACACAACCTGATGTCGATGAGAGTGTAGCCATCCTCTATGATCGTCTTACTTTCCGCTTCGCAGAGGTAGTACGTGACGCACACTCCCCTTTGTCCATTTTCCGCGATGCATTCATTGACTGTTTGAAAGTGAAATTATAAATTAGGGATCTAATGACTCATAGAGAAAATCGCATGTTTAATACTCCCCACTTCTCTAATGGAAGGATGATTGGTTTTACTGTACACGAAATCACTGTGTCGTTGCTGGCGCATGGTGCACGAAGGTTTTGGGAAGGGTTTGGGACAAACTGGCTACTTCTTAATTACATTTCCTTATGTAAAGCCGTGGTGTTACATTCGGTAGTGGATACACCAAGTAACCAAACCTTATTTATTTTCAAGGGGATAACTTGAATCAGTACGTTTTATGTGTATTAAAGAGGCCACGCTGTTGCAATAAGAGGCGGTCCGTCTGGGTAAGTGGAATTGTTACACTTTACGTACTACTGTTTCGTCTGGTGAGTGAGGTAGCCGAGGCGCACTTTGTTAAAAGGTGGCAGCGTCTGCTATGGGTGTTCCAAATGTCAATGGGCGGCGGCTATCACTTAACATCAGGTGAATCACCGGCTCGCTTGCCTCCTTCTAACATAAAAAAAACATGGAGTAATTCAACACAGTTCTTATATGGCAGTTAATACTATGTTACTCTCTAAATATTATTTTTTCCATACGCTTTTATTTTTTCCTACCGTTAGTATCCGCGACCCCGACACTCCTATCTGAAAATAGAAAGAATAGTCCGTTAAGAATGCTTGGATGAAATGGAAAAATTCAAATGAAACGCTTTTATTCATTGCTTCAAATCAATTTGTGACATAATGACATCACTCTTTGTTATTCCTAAGGGTACGTGACTTGAGGGTATAATGCCCTGTCAAGTTTACCTAAAATCGGATGATCGTTTCAACAATAGGTGGTACAAATGTAATACATTGCAGTTTTATTGTTGACCTTTAAAGGTCTGGCCCCGTGACCACACTCACCGTACAAATTAGTAGCGAAAAAAAATATTTTGTTCTGTGAGTGTGGCAACATCGTGGAGTAGTTGTATTTATAGTACTACTGTAGGTGTATTTATAAGTGGCTCCTAATATATTATAGCCCCTCTTTAGTCTTCCGTGAGACACTAGTCGGAACGACAGTTTCTACAGTTGTAGATACATCTTCTGAAATGGATAGTGACTAGTTCACACGTGTGGGTTCGATCCCGCTACTGTAAAAATATTTCTTGACGGACATGGTATTTTTCCAAATTTCCTATGACAAAATCTTAGTAAATGCGCAAAGCCTACCTATTTAGTCAGGTTTAAGAAATTTATTGAGGAAAAATTTTATAAAAAGGATTATTATCAAAAAAAAAGGGCCGTGATAGCTCAGTGTCCGGGCGCTCGCCTTTAATTCAAAATACTCGAGCAACCTGAGTTCGATCCCCGGTGCCGGCACCAATGAAGTTTTTAACTTTAAGTGCTGTCTTATCACGTGCTCCGCGGTGAAGGAAAACATCGTGAGGAAACCTGCATATTTTCGAAATAATAACAAAAAAAAATATTTCGAAGATATGTGAAGTCCGCCAATCCGCAGTGGGGCCGCGTGGTGGACTATGCCCTGATACCCTCTATATAGAGGAGGCCTTTGCCCAGCAAGTTTGCGAAGTAGTTTTCAAAAATGACTATCGATCGATAGATGAAAAAGGTGCGTTTCTTATTTAGATTTGATTTGATTCGCTTTATTACACAAGAACAAAATCTTCGAAACATTTAAATTTTTATATCTGCTCATACTTATATCTGCACTTAAGATTAAACATTAAAATTTTTAGGAAAAATGAAAGAAAAGCTTTTCGCCGTGAAACAAACAATGCAGATAAAAGACGTTAAGATTTTCGTCGGTGTGGCAATCAGCCGTTTATCTTAGTGGCTAAACTAAAGCGTCATGGCTCGAATCCCGAATACGTGGGTTCGAATCTGACAGCGACGAAAAGCTTTTCGTTCCTCTTTTCTACAAATTTTAATCCTTAGACATGTTTATGAGTTACCCAGCACCTTTAGTACGTACATGCTTTGCTTAGTTTGGGTCTATATAAGATCGCGTGAATACTGACCTAAAATATTTATTGTTTAAAAACTGCATAAAGGGTAGACGTATATATGATATATTATAAGCAACCAAAAACTAGTAAATGTACCCGCTCACTAACTTTATGAAAAGATAACAAATTATGACATTTGAATGTTTTACCAGTAATATTATTGGAAATACAAGCATTTTTGGGTAAATACCTACATACAAACTTTACCTTAAACGTAGATGACTCAGTCTGTGTCAATAACTAATGAAATTTTGTTCAAATTCCCCATTTTCGCTGTACTTGAAGGCTCAGGCATGAACGATTGTTAAAGAGGAACGAATAAAGAGATAAGTCTCCTACCGCCAATAGTGTCTTCGGAAACCGGATCTAGATTGAGGTCATCGTCGCTTTCTGTGGTCGTCTGAATACTTTGGGACTTAATGAAGTCGGCGAATAAATCGTCCACACCCTGGCAAAGGACCGCCGCCAGGAGAGAGGTCAGCACCAACGAGAAAATCTTCCGCCTGCGTGCGATCCAAATCAATTCTCAATTCATCATCCTGCTGCCCTTATCCCACCCAGGTGGGGTCGGCAAAACATATGAAACATGTATGAACTGTGGCAGGGCTATGCTTAACATCGGGTGAACTGCCTGCTTGCTAGGCAGCTTTTGACATAAAAAAAATATTGTAAGCTATGTTCTTTACGACCGGCCACCTGCCTTACGTCAACCCTCCTTGGGAAAACAAACATCTAGATCTGAAATAATTTGTGGGTCACATAAATACTTGTCCCGCGTGGCAATCGAATCCTATATTATATTATCGAACCTTATATATTCATTCTGGCATATCAAAAAATTACATCTATTAATTTCGATTACTATTGTAATAACCATTTATTTACCCCTGATTTTATGTACATAATTCATTCCGCAAAATAAGCGTTTGGCTGAGTTATTATAATGGGTTATAACCGATATATGATAAGTGATACAGTACAATAAGAATATCTCTATCTCTATTTTGAGATTTGCAAAATATTTTTTAAAAATGCATCGCTTAAGATCAGCTTGAGTTTGAGTTTACACATGACCTTCCCATTATTTAAATGTCACTGAGAATAAACTTAACAAATTGTCAGATAAAATAAACATTTAAAATGTAATAACTTATATCGGTAAACATAAACAAAAACCGTGGCTACCCACATAAAACATTAAGTAACCTTACCTCATTTCACTTTGACAGCTGCTAGCAGAACAGATAATAGGTATATATGATTTTACACCGCGAGATTGACAACTTCCCGCTCATGCGGCGCAGAACTTACTGGTTCGAAGCTGCGAAGGAAACAAAATAGCTATAAACAAGCTAGCCATATTAATATCGCGAGATAAAAAATGAATGCGGGGCGGGGACTGACTGGTGTATTTTCCTTGAATGTAACCAACCAAAGAGTTCAGAGCTCGTTTGGTGTTGTTTGGAAGTAATAATTATGACGTATACACTCATGTACGTACGATGTATCGTCATCATTTTTTTTTTTTTAGTTGAACCAAAATTCCTCTTGATTACAATGCTCTATTTCTTTTGGCGCGTTTGGAAAAAAGTATGAGTAAAATTTTTATAGTGGGAGCACAATGACCCCCAAAAACGGACGAACCGCGACCTCGACGGCCCTTGGATGACACACCATAGTTAAACACGCATGAGCACATGCGCGGCCCTACCCATAGCGGAGGGCCCAAACCCGTGGGTTCTGGCAGATATGAAACATCGACATTATTTTGTAAAAGTAATATGCAGAAAAGAACAGATTGTGATAGGAACTAAATATGTCATAATGATAAAATAAAATATTACGATTTTTTCCAGATAACAATGACTATTTATTGAATAAACATTTATTTTCATTAAATACAAAAAAAATACGAATTTATTTGAAATCGTGACTGCTTAATTCGTTTAATCAGTGACTTCGGTAAAAGTACACACAATTAATTAAAGTTAATTTAATTAATTAATAAATTATTATTAGCAATTAATTTAAATTTGAGTAATTAATCGTACACACTACTGCATAGACTGTATATAAATACCATTATAGCGTGACGACGCGTCGCCACAGCATGCGTCGCCACAGCATGCGTCGCCACGCCAGAAATCTATAGAACGCCAGAATAATACGGCTATAGATGTTTCACATCAAAAACATCAGTTAATACAAGATACAAGAAAAAGGGACACGATGAACTTCCGGTATTACCTAACAACAAATAACAACTTTATGACATTTTAGCTGTAATTTCAATTTATAACCATTATCAATAGAATTTAAAATATTTTCACAATCAAAGTACTGGCACAGGGAATACAATTGTTAGTTATTTTTATTATGTAACGATAAAGGTGTATAACTTCTTACGTGCCCATATGCATTCTTCTCTTTATTTTAAAACCTTGCCAGTGTTTCTCCAGATAGTTAGTGATAAACGCAACCTAAGACCATCTGTTATTTTAAAGCGTTGCAGTTGAGATGCTAAAATTTAAGAGGGTTAGCCGGTAAATTTTTAGCACTAACAACATCAAGGATGCGACCGGCATGGTAAGGTCTCGCTGAGGGATAGCATTGTAATCATTTTAAAGATCTTTATGGAATTAATCAGAAATAACCAGCGTAAATATTCTGGGTATTTACGCTGGTTATTTCTCGTTCATCGTTTAAGATACCGAGTAGCAGACCTTTCGGTAAAACCAAGGAACATACAATCTAGTACGATAGCAAATTTGAACTTTCAACCCTTGATATCGCTTTCTGCTGTTATTTTAAGTCGAGTCGGACTCGCGAACGAAAAAAAAAACATCATGTCTGTCGTATGAGAGCCCCACTTAAACATTTTTTTACTCTATTTATAGTATTTGTTGTTACAGCGCCAACAAAAATACATCATCTGTGAAAATTTCAACTGTCTAATTATCGCCGTTCATGAGATTCAGCCTGGTGACAGACGGACAGACAGACAGACTGACAGCGGAGTTTTAGTAATAGTTTAGAATAAGATATAGAATAAAAATGAAAATAGAAAAGGTATACTTAGAATAGAGTTAAATTGATTTAACTCTATTTTTTTTTAATTTTTGTTACCTCAGAACTTTCGACTGAGTGAACCGATTTTGATGGTTCTTTTTTTTTTTGAAAGCTAAGAAAAATATATTTTTAATTTCATTGGTATTGAATCTTGGGTTCCGGAGATACTTAGGTTAACTTATAAAAATCACTACATAGTATAAAACGAAGTCATCCCGCTGTCTGTCTGTCCCTTATTTAATTCTTTAAAAGTACGCAACGGACCTGGATGCGTTTTTTTTTTACTCGATAGAGTGATTCAGGAGGAAGGTTTATATGTATAATACATTGCACCCGCGCGAAGCAAGGGCGGGTCGCTACTCAATTGTAAAATGAATACAGAGTGAGATATTTGACGTCGGTTTTAAATGAAATACAGTCGACCGGTCTGATACTTACTGTGGAATCAATGGGGCAGACGAGAGAGGACCCCCCCGTCCTTTCTGCAAGTGTCTATGCCCTTGACTCCCCCCGTGCAGAGGAGGGATTTGTGGAGGCGGAACCTTGTCTTCCTCAGCATATCCTCGCACCGATCCTTCGCCACCAGCGATAGCTTCATCTGCAGGACATCGGTGGCGAATCATTGCATTTGCAACTCAATAATCACGGAAAGTAAAGAGTTAAAGTAAAAATATCATTAACAGTTAACATCTGTAAATGATAATCTTTAATGTAACTCGTGACTTTAGGTGTAGTGTAAGCATGCTTGTATGCAGTGGACGAACCTACAGGACAGTCGTTATGTTACTCGAAGCGCCTGCAGATTTTTGAGGTTACACTTCTTTTGGCGCGCTTGGAAAAATTATGACAGTATTTTTTTCGATATGCCCACACCAACCCACAAAAAGTGACATGATGCTTGGTGGCCAATCTAATCTTGACAACCAATAGCAACTTTTTGACATTTACCAATAGTTCCAAGTTATTTAATTTCGCGAAGATTGCTGCGTGGCCCTACCACAGTTAATATGGGTGATTAGTGTATGGAAAAATAGTAAAGTCAACTTCCGTAGGTCCAGACAATCGTCTCTACAATCTAAAAAAGTAAAGACGGCGAAGACTGTTGTGTAGCCCTACCACAGTCCAAACGCACCTTTAGAATTTTGTTGACCTATGTAAAAAAAAAACAATTTTTGCGAGACGTAAAATAAAGATTTATTTGTGCCTTTATGAACAAAAGCTGTGGTTGTAGGGGAGTGAAAGAGATGTAGCTTTCCTTACGCCAAAATCAGCACTTGCTTATTATAAGAGTCGAAAAAGATATTCGTTTTAGGTAGCCGTGATAGCTCAGTGTCCGGGCAACCCGAGTTCGATTTCGGGTGCCGACACCAATGAAATTGTCAATTTTAAGTGCTCACATTACGTTTTCAGCGGTGAGGGTAAACAACGCGAGTCTACCTGCGTATTGTCGAAATAATAACAAAAAACAAACATTTCGAAGATTACTAGACTAGACTAGGCCCCGATGGACTGTGAGGAGGAGGTATTTGCCCAGCAGTGGGTATAGGCTGTTACTTTACTTTCGTTCGTCGTTACCTGACATAGTCATTTTTTTGTCTTTCATTACACTGCGATCTGTCGCCACGGGGACATTTATTATGTGGGTTGGTTGGGTTTGTTATTGCCATGATCGGTATGCGTCCTGTTTCGCATCCAACTTTACTTCACTGTTATGATTTAAGTGTGTCTTGGGGTATCTTGCGTTTCAGTCTGCGGATTGTAGTGTCGTCTTACATGAAGACATTGGCCAGGCTGTTCGGATGGTCTTTCTTTTCTTTAAGTCTTTCTTTCTAAGGGTGAACCCTCATACGGATTGAAAAACCTTTTCCAGGTATTCCGCAAATATAGCTACTTTTCCTTGGTCACTTCGTGCCCAGCTGGGATCTGGTTTTCTAAGTGGTGAAATTGTTACTATGGGTCTTTTTACTTTTCTTAGTGGCTAACCAAAGAAAGTAGTCTGTAGCTGCTGTTGCATCAAGACCCTCTATGTATGCCTGGAAGGAAGCGTTCCTATCTTGTCCCAGAGCTTGTTTTAGATCTCTTACTTTGTGGATGAATATTTTTTTCGTATCAGGACATCTATTTTTATTTCCATAATTTTCTGGTCTCTCTTTTTTCCTTAATCAAGTCCAATAGTGGCAATAGATTGAGCATCGGACTTGTATTGATCTAATGGAGTCGAGTTCCATGCGGCATTTTGTACGGTTGTATTAAAGAGTTCAACAGCATTTATAATGTCATCTTCTGTTTCGAGTGGAGGTGGTACTTTAAACGCTTCATCTATGATGTATCGAAATAGAATCCAATTAGTTTTCTTAGTGTGCAATTAACTCATAGTTCCCCATGTGCCATTTTCTCTAAAATTTCTGTGACGGGTTGGATGTTGCTAACCTTTTCAATGAAGAACGGAGGAGGCTTGGTTATCATTACGGTTTCCGATTCTGAAAATCTCTGCTGTCTGTTCTCGAGTTCAGAGAAGCTAGTAAAAGTGGATATTGGAGTTGCTAGCCAAGAATTTGCTTTGGTCTTCTGATTTCTGCTTGTGTTTTCAGGGCTACCTCTCGTTCTTTTGCGATGATTTACTTCCTGCCCAGGTCTAAGGAAGATGTAGGTCTTGGTTTAAACAAGCAATTCTTCTATATTTATATTTAGTATGCAAATCGATCTAGCTAGGTTTTATTTTTAGAAAATATCCTTTTATCCCTGTTTTCAGGCAATGAAAAATATCATTCGAAAATGAAAGTAAATTTCACCCCAAATAAAATTTTATAATAGCTCGGTCGGTAATGGGGCGGCCCCAAAACGGACGGCGGCGGTTCGTATCACGATCATTTACACACTTATTTTCTTTTTACTTTTCTATACCAGATCATTTTCTTTATTTTTTATTTTTTTGATTTCCAAAATACATGATTTACCAAAAAAATCCGAGCAAAGCTCGGCCAAAAAAATCTCCAGGTGCTTTACTTAATCAGCCCTCTAATTTCAAAGGTGCGTTAATTCACTGTACGAAATTAATAATGTAATCTTCCCCCTCACCTTCTTCGGTATGGAGTCGAAGACCTTCTTGTTCCTGAATCGGGCAGGGCCCCAGCCTATTCCGAAGCAGTTGGCACTCGGCGGCGGCGGCCGTGGGGCGGGGCACGCTATGCCGATATGTGGCGTGATCTCCAGGGCCACGGGGCTCTCTAGGAACAGCAGCCCGACGTCGTTGTACAGTGACGCTGGAATCGTCCGTTTCACGTAAAGGTCGATCGCTTTGGAGGGCTTTAAATTCCAAAATTAATTCTTAAAGGGATCAGGATTAGAGCCTGATTTTACTGAGTTCTCATCAAGCAGGCGACAAGTACTCCAAATTAACAAGCCACAAACCGCCACAATCAAAGTTTCTCATATAGGCTTATTTTAAGCTCTTATTGATGCTATTATATGCTCTCTATATTTATGCACTTTTGCTAGTCGCTCGTCTTATTGACTATGCACTAACAATCTAGGAGATAAATATGGAAACGAACATAAATTATAATTTATAAAAGTAAATGATGCAACCTGGAGTCGATGAGAGTGTAGCCATCTTCTATGATCATCTTATGTTCCATGTCGCAGAGGTAGTAGGTGACGCACACTCCACTCTGTCCACCTTCCTTTATGCATTCGTCAACTGTTTGAAAGTGAAGTTTGTAATCAGGAATTAGTTGACTCACAGAGAACATCGCAGGTTTAAAATTCCTGCTCTAATGGAAGGATGATTGGGTTTGCAGTATACAAAATCACTGTGTCGTTGCTGGTGCACGAAGACATGTTTGCCGCCTGCCAGGTTTTGGGATTTAATAAAAAAATAAATTCTTAACTACCTTTCCTGATGTTGATTTATTATTTTACGCGAATATTATACATTTTAAATGAAACTAATTTACGTGATAGACCATAAACGCTGGAAAGGGCTCGAAACGTCGGCAATAAAAAATCAAAATAAAAACGCGATGAAATTACTAAATTAGTTGGGCAGGTCCGTCCGGGTAAGTACCACAACCTCACAGAAAACCGGCGTAAAGTAGAAGTGTTACACATCTGCGTATCGTCTGGTGAGTGAGGTAACCAGGCCCACTTTATTTAAAGGTGACAACGCATTTGCAATCCTAGGGGTGTTCCAAATGTCCATGAGCGGCGGTTATAATTTAACATCAGGTGAACCGCCAGTTCGTTTGTCACTTTCTCACATAAAAAAAAAACATAGAGTAATTTGACACAGTTCCTATATCGCTGTTAATATTATTTTACTCTATTTATTCCATACGCTTTTATTTATTCCCACCGTTAGTATCCGCGACCCGGTCACTGCTATTTGAAAATAGAAAGAATAGAGTGATGTTGTTTTAGAATTTTTTTAACCTCATTACGAAACGGTAGTAGTTTTTATAATATTATTATCGATAGATGAAATGTATGTTTCTTATTTCGATGAGCGATTTGATTTGATTTTATTTATTACAAAAGAAAAAAAATCCTTAAACATGTTTATGAGTTACCCAATACCTTTAGTACATGCTTAAAGTACTTATTTAAAAGTACTTATTTAAAAACTGCTTAAAGTATAGATGTACGTATATATGATATATTGTAAGCATCCGAAAAGCAGTGTTACGATTACGGGGTTGACAACTTAAATGTCAACGATCCGTCGATTTGTTACCAGTTTGTTAACAGTTTGGAATGACGTATAAAATGTTCTTTTAAATTATTAAAAATATAATTATAAATTTGAAAGAAGTTTCGAATTCCAGAACTTATTTGAAAAACGAACGAAATTCCGAGTATAAAAGGGCCTCAGAGCGCCTTAGACGGCAGTTCGGTGGAGGAATTCAAGAAGGAAGAGGAAGAAGAAACAGGAAGAATAAAGTGGAAAGTGAAAATAGTGAAGTAATAGTGAGTGGACAGTATAGTAGTGAATAGTGACGCGAAGTGATTAGTAGTGTAAAGGCGTACGCGGTGGGTTGGTGCGGTAACGTGTGGAGCGTTGCACCAGTGGACGCGTACGTGGAGATTGGTGCGAGAGGGAGCGCACCGGCAGTCGTGTCACGGAACGGGAGAGTCGTCGCACCGGTGGTAGTTATAGGGACTAGAACGCTATTGACAGGCTTATTGTGCACTTCTTTGTTGGCGACAATAAAGTAAACATTTAAACGACCGGTTTGCAATCCAATCCCGAACCCCCAGCTCGTAACAGTAGTAAATTTGCCGCCTCACCGGTTTTAAGGAAAGCTAACAAATTATGACAATTGAATACTTTACCAGTAATAATATTGGAAATACCAGCATTTGTAGGCAAATATGTTAATCGCTCTACGTTACAGAGGTTAAACAAAACTTAACCTTAAACGTAGATGACTCAATGTTGAAAAATCTAATGAAGTTTTGTCAAATTATTTTTTTCAATTAGTACGCTATATTTGAAGGTTCAGGCATGAATTATTGTTAAAGTGGAACTCCTACCGCTTTTAGTGTCTTCGGAAACTGGATCTAGGTTCAGGTCATCGTCGCTTTCTGTGGTCGTCTGGAGACTTTGGGCCTTATTGATGGCCGCGAATGAAATGTCCGCATCCTGGCAAAGGACGGCCGCCAGGGGCGAGGTCAGCGCCAGCGAGAAAATCTTCCGCCTGCGGGCGATCCAAATAATTTCTCATTTCATTATCCCGCTGCCCTTGTCCCACCCAGGTGGGGTCGGCACAACATATGATACATGTTGTAAGCGGTTTTAGCTATGTTTTTTTAAGAAACAAACACCCAGATCCGGAACAATCATTGGTGGGTAACATAAACACTTGTGCCGTGTCGGAATCGTACCCACGACCCTCGACTCCGAAGAATAGCTTAGCGATGGCGCTATCGAGTTATTCAAATCATTACATTACACCATTAAATTTGTGTCACATTTAAAATATTTTTTGATTTCTTTTTGCGATATTCACCTAAGTTCGCTCAGGTTAAGCAACTAAGATATTATGATTTATTTTTTCTGGCTGCCAGAAATCAGCCAAGCCATCTCATTAACTATTAGTGGTGGGCCGTAGGATACTATCGATAGTATCATGGAAGGCTTTCGACAATGTACACAGATGATCCCTATATATTTTATGGCCCATGATTGTATTTTACTTTTATATTATTATAGGAATAATAATAAACAAATATTATGTATGAGAAAGCATTCAACAATTTTAGAAATCTTATATATTTTTAATTTATTCTCTAAATGTTCAAGACGTGCTACGTTATATTAATTCCTCAATGAAATGATATTTAAAAGAAATATCGATAAAATTCCTTATATCGATAAACGACAACAATTATAACTAGAATCTAAATTTTGTCATCTCCATCGATATCGTGTAGCCTATTGGTCCGACCGTCATGGCAAGCAATTACTGTAGTTCCTAGTTCAAACCTCCCCTGAGTGGTACATTTTACATATTTTTTTCAAAGTTTAATTTGTTAATCGATTAAAATTGTTGTTGTTCGTAAAAGATTAATTTTCGTTTAAGGGTGAAAAATTAAATATTTTAATAAAAAAATAAAAATAAGAGATGACAGTTTCGGTGATTTTTTTCCGTACATCTTTGGTTTTCTATTTTCTATTGATTTTGGACTTCGAATTGCTTTTGATTTAGATTTCGGCATCATGACTTCAATGAACAATTGTTGTGTTCGTGAATGCAATACAACATTGCAAACGTGGTAATTTCCTTTGTTTTTTTTTGTTTGGCAAAACATTAATAATTATTCGTATTTGCAGGTAAAGACTGCAACGCAAATTTGCATTCTTTTACTCATCCTGAAAAGGATAGTGTCAGATTTAGAACATGGATTCAATCGATTGGAGGAAATTTACTGATTTTGTATAGCCAATAAACAATTGAACGTAAATAATTTACTAAACGGCACCAGACTCGAAAACACATAACAAAGACATTGTATAAAAAATTGGGAGCAAATATTATAAAAAACTAAATAAAGTTCGCAAAACATATTTCTTTATTTGATCCAAAAATAAAGTTCAGCATATGTATCCAATTACAGTTTCTATACAATGTTATCAAATATAAATTAAATAAATTTCATACATAGAAAACTTTAGTTGAATACAGCCCTCAACTACAAAAACTGAATATGGTTAAAAGTTTATGCTATATACATCTGAGCTTGTAGTTCGGTAAAGTATCAAAAGATGGCGCTGTCTCACGAGGACACTAACTCTATTCTCATATATTATAATATATATATATATATATATTATAATGTGTTATAATTATAATCATTAAAAATGTACTCTTTGGCTTCCTGACTTCAAGTGTTCAAGTCAACGTGTGAAAATGACAGAGAACTGAAACAATGTCACGTTGGCCGTTTCAGTATATATTATGTCTTATCTAGGGCGGTGGCGCTGTGTTTTGGTTGTTGCGTGTTGTTTTGTTTGGTGTGTTTAATTTTAAGAAATTAAATTAATGGTTACAAATATCTTACTTCAATATAAAAATTAAGACAACAGGCCTATTTATTAAAATATTCTACACCACTGATATTAATTTCATTAAGATTTTTTGATTTATTATGTATATTTTGGGATTTGAATTTCACTTATAAAGGTGATTTAATGATTTCTTGTTGTTCTGATTTGACGTAAGTATATAAATAAATAAATAAATTCGTCCATTCTGACAAATCAGAAAAATTTTACATCTGTTAATTTCGATTAATATTGTAATAACCATTTTATTACCTACGATTTTAGGTAGGTACCTAATTCATCCCGCAAAATAAGTGTTTGCCTGAGTTTTATATATAATTTATACTATGGGTTATAACCGATATATAAGTGATATATTATAATATATCTCTATTTTGTGATTTGTTTTAATAACAATTGCATCGCTTAAGATTAGTTTGATTCAATGTGAATTAGACGCATGACCTTTCCATTAAATAAAAGTCAATGGGAATAAACTTGACAAATTGTCAGATAAAATAAACATTTAAAATTTAAAAACTTATATCGATAAATATAAACAAAAACCGTGGCTGCGCATAAATAACCATTAAGTAATCTTACCTCTTTCCACTTTGACAGCCAGCTACTAGCAGCACAGATAATATAGACTATATTTTTCTACACCGCAAGATTCAGAACTTCCCGCTCATGCGGTGATGCACTAACTGATGTACTGTATTACACGAAGGAAACAAAATTTATATTCATATTTTTGGCGCTGGCAACACTGTATACCGGATATGACGTTATTTACTCGAGCCAAGGGACGTTAGAACGTTAGAACTCTTATGCGGGGCGGGGACTGACTAATTTAGTTCATCGGTGTATTTTCCTTGAATGTAACCATTCAAAGAGGTTCGTTTGGTGGTGTTTGGAAATAATAATTATGATGTACACACGCATGTACGTACGAATGATGATAGATCTTGTTTATTTTATTTAATAAAGTAACAGCCTTTAAATGTCCCACTGCAGGGCAGAGGCCTCCTCATTACATCCTCATACCCACTCAGGGCATAGTTCACCACGCGGCCACACTGCGGATTGGCGGACTTCACATACTTTCGAAATATTTTTTCCCTTATTTCGAAAACATGCAGGTTTCCTCACGATGTTTTCTTTCACCGTTCACGTGGTAAGTCAGCACTTAAAATTAAAAATTTCATTGGTGCCGGCACCGGGGAACCTCAGGTTGCTCGAGTATATTAAATTGAAAGCGAGCGCCCGGACAATGAGCTATCACGGCTTCTGGTGATAGTGGCTTCATCACGGTTTATTTATTTAATACTTGAACCAAAATACCTTTTGATTACAATGCCTCGATCATTGAAAAAGCAAATATTAGTGTTACTACCTGTTGCCCGCGACTACGTCCGCGTCGATTATGGTGAAAGCGAAAAATTCAGCCAGATACAGACAGATATCAATACATAATAATAAAAATGTAACCGATCTTTGTCTGTACATGAAGGATATTTGAGAAAAATAATTATTACCTTTATCAACGCAATAGAACCCTAAACAATGTATTAATATAATAATTTGGATGTGTGCGTTAATCTCAGAAACGGCTTAACCGAACTTTAACTAATAAATTGTAGTAAGCTTCACTTAACATTTAGTGTTAGTTTTATTCAAATCGGATCTTAAATAAAAAAGTTATATTAACTTAAAAAAAAGTAATAGCTAGCTAGCTAGCGAGTAATAGATAGCTACAGTTGAATTGGATGAAACATAATTATATTATGGTGTGTAAAATGATGATGACTGTTAGTTTATATAAAGTTGAAAATCGGCCAAGTGCGAGTCGCGCTCGCGCATGAAGGCTTCCATACCATTCCATACCATCTATAAAAACGGTATACAAATCACGGCTGTAGTGTGAGAGCCCCATTTTTTTTATTCTAATTTTTAGTATTTGTTGTTATAGCGGCAACAGAAATACATCTACATGCAAATACATCATTTGTGTAGTAAGTAAGTAGTCTGTAATCCGCCGCCGCGTATCCCAATCCGCTAGTTGTAGGTGTCGTCACCTACAGACCTACAACGTACTTACGTTCCGCCGCATATGCCGGAAAAATTTCATTAAAAATGTAGATGTAAAAAATTTTTACAAAAAAAAGAACCGACTTCAAAACCCTCTATTAGCACTATAAAAGTCTAAAATAGTACTAAATTTAATGTAACCAAATCTTGAAAATCTAACCTAAAATTTTTGGAGTCAGTGAAGTGAAATGGGATCACACGGGAAGCACCTACTTTCAAATAAAAACGAATCAACAACATCGGTTCACCCAGCCGAATGTTCTGAGGTAACAAACATAAAAAAAAAATACAGTCCAATTGAGAACCTCCTACTATTTTGAAGTCGGTCATATTGTAAGGATTTTCTGTCATTGCAATGGGATGGCAAGCTCGTTTGCCATCCCATTGCAGCGATGAGCTTATTTATTTATTTGCACACTTTATTGTACTAACTGGTACAAACGGCGGGCATTTTCACCAGCCAACCGGAGTTAGAAAGAAGTGTATGTGCTGACTGTATAGGGTAAATATAATATATTTGTATAGGGTAAATATAGGGTAAATGTAATATATTTACCCTATACAGTAGTATGTGTACATTATGATAACAATTACTAAACACATACAAAAATATATATATAATATACATGCTTATGTTAAGTGATAACTTCGTGGCATTCACTTATCTCGCTCACCGGACGAACCGTGAGATCTTTATACTTTCTCGGATGAGCCGGCCCATTCATGGAACAAAACATCGGATGTACTGCGTCGCGCTAACGCGTCAAAATATTGGATACAAAAATAGCTGTACGTAGACTGCTCGGTGTACGGAAACTGGTTTACGTATCATGTGAACCGGGTGAGGTCGGTAAAGCAGAGAGCAATAGACTCTATTGTCGACTTGAACTGCTGCCTATTTCGCTCTAGTAAGTAAGAGGTGTTCAGTTTGGCTGTATCTTTTTTTTTAGGGTTCCGTACACAAAGGATAAAACGGGACCCTCTTACTGTCTTCTGTCTGTCTTGTGTACAGGGGCCTTTACGGATGTTAAAATTATAATAAGGTATTTAAATATAAAGATTTTTTTTTCATTTTATGGCCCAATGTGTAGAAAGTGTTATTTTGCGAAAGGTTTGTGACAAATCGTAGTTGGCGCGAATGTTGGCCGGCAAGCCGGATTGTGTCTGTTTTTTCAGAACACATCAAAGGATCTTGGCGCGTTACAATGAGCATGACACAAATGTGTGAACAGCTACACACCGCGAATGCAAACGCTTTGGCCCAATGTGTACAGGGGCCTTAGGGCTTCGATGAACAGCGAATAAGTACTCATTGCGGGTGCATTGTGTTTGATTATTATGCGCGGCGAAAATTCGCTGCCTCTGTCATACACAGAGAGAATGTAATTCTATACGAGAATGTCGATAGTCTGTTGGTGGCCTTGGTGGTCATCTATTCAGACATGTAGTCTGGAGTGGCGCTGAGCGGAATGGCAGTGAGTATCCTGTTCCCGTCACGCACAGAGTACTTAGGCCTAGTCACAGCGAGAACTCGCTGTGTGTGATCAAGACTTAAGAATATGGCGGCAATCAAGGTCCGTCACACGTCCGAGTTAAGTTAAAACATAATAATACGCGGGTCGCTGAGCGCACTGGCCACAAACGCGTCGGGCGTCGGCCGATGATGGACGCGATAAACGTTTGATTAAATTTTCTAGATAAACTTAAAATTTGAGTTTAATATAACTATAGAGAATAAAACTTGAATTTCGTGTTAGTGCATCACCAGTTAATAGCCGACGGACTTATCGGTGGGGACTGTTCATTAGAGACTAAGGTATGGTTTCTTCGATTTCTTGATTGTTTCTTTTAATTTGTTTTTAAAGATACCGTACCTAAATGTGTGATCGGTAGACTTGTAGCGTTTTGCAACTCGAGTGTAATAAATAAATAATATTAATAGACGTAGGTTATATCTAGTTGTATAAAGTTAATGGACGATATAACAATATACAATGAAACTGCATGGATAAAATATTGGACGCATGAGTAATTCTATTGTTTGTTTTCCTTCCTAAGATTTATATGACTCGGCGGTAACTTATAATTAGCCATACCGTCAAGTGAGATTTAAAAAACCTTGACGTTGTTATGAAAAGCTGAAGTTAATTAGCAGTCAGCAGTTTCAACAGCAGTAAGCAGTCAGAAATTTAGTATTTAATTTAATTTATAAACTTTTGTTGTTCAGTATAACTTTTACTTGGGGTTTCTAAATGTAGACTTTTTAACGGAAACCGGCTATAGCTCGTCGACATCGCAACTAACGTCGAAGCAAGGAGCGTAATATAAGGCAATATCCTTAAAGATAATACTGATAAAAGCATACATCCTGGCCGGAATTTTGGCATTTAACAAGACCGCCGTGTCGTTTTAATTACATTCAAATTTAGAACATTTATATAACCAATGTCAAAGGAAAAATCGGATTTGGGTATTTAACGTCGAATTTTTAAATACAATGCAATCATTTTGGGGCAGCAGTGTCCGTGATGCACCAGATGAGCAAGGCAATTTGTAAAAATAAAGTAAATAGAATAATTTGTTACCAAATATAAGTTATCCGCTAAATTAAATATAGTTTATATCCTTTATATTTTCATAATGGTTGCTATGTAAATTTAAACCGGGACCTACCTCACAAATTTTTCGATTAATCCCGGGAGTTCTTGTCTAATCTTGGAGTCTTCATGTAAACGACTCTAAAGGGTATACGCTGATTTGTTATTTGCAAGATAGTCCACCATGGTCACCTTTAAAGTTCGAAATACAAATGACGTTAACTTGCCAGCACATAAAGTTTTTACTTTGATTCAGGGTTAAAAAATCCGACTTCATTGAATATGGTATTGTGGCCAAGATCTTACGAGGTGCATTAGCGTCACCAATCTCCTGGATAGTCGAACTCCGGTCTGCCAATATGAGATCGCGTACTTTGCCGTTGTTTTCAACAGTCATAGCTGTCGTGATGATGGGTTGTCACGGGAGAAGGTGGCAAGTGAGCTGGCAGTTCAATGAGTTAAGTGACATTTGCAACTTCCGCAGAAGGTGAGATGCGTTTCCACCTTTTAATAAAGTGGGCCCCGGCTAGTGTTACCGTGCATAAGTGAAGGGATGCATCTAAGATGGCAGGAGTGCCTGATTTCAGAAAAATGCTTGACAAAGTTTTTTAACGTTGCAGTAGGTAACAAAATCATATTAATCTTCGAAATAAACAAAAGGGCAACAAAGGGCCGGCCACAAGACTATCTTGACGTAAAAATGCCTGTCAAATGCGGCAAATGCAGGTAACCCTAGCTCCGGCTACCTTACTCATCAGACGAATCACAGAAGTATAACATACACATCACGTCTTCTGTGAGGTCGTGGTACTTACCCGATCGTACCTGCCCATTCGTAAAGACTGTTGCTTGTGACTACTACGGTTTCTCGCGTCCACATTTAAGTTCTTCCACCAAGTTTTTTGAAGTGGTTACATTAACGTTGTTTTCATGTCATCGTATATCTCTTTTGGCATTATTTTATTCATCACGCTCTTGACGACCGCGCTTTGTTAAAATCTCCATCTTTTTGTACAATCATAGTGTTTGGTCTCGATTACCTCGTTTTTATTTAATAACCTCAAATGCAACAAAATACGCACTGTGACAGCGAAGCAAGAAATGAATCTGACGCCAGTAAAAGCACAAAGGAAACATTATTTATTAACAAAACCGACTTCGAACATCTCAATCTTTTAACGTTTTCTATTTAATTTTGGGCAAGTGTGAAGTTAATATGCAACGGAGTTTTTAAAATTGTCTCACATTTGACGGAGTTTTGAGGCAAAAACATAAAAAAAATACAACCGAATCGGGAAACTTATCTTTCGAAGTCGGTTGTAAATATAAGAAGGAGCGCAGGGGTTATCAGCTATATGCTGAGCAACTGACCCCGCCGATTTAGCATTGCAACGTTCACCTTACATATTTCTGTTTATTTATTTTTTGCTTGACATAAATTATTTTATTACATTTTATTGAATTTATTATATTTTATCCTTTTCTCTTATATTAATTTTTAGAGTTTTTAAGATGTACTTTTTCTTTAAGATGTACTTTGTTTATTGTAATTTTTTTTGGTTAATTAATTTTATTTTTTCCAGATTTGATTTTTAGGTTGATTATTTAATCAACCCAATTAATAATAACAATAAACATTTGGCCCACAGTGCAAAGACTCTCTAAGTTCCATATTGGGGATCCATCTTTAGTAGATTGATTTAGATCGTTATCAGTTCGTGCCTGAGCAATAGCTTAACAACTGCGAAGAGACCAAACTTCCATCCAGATGGAGGGCTTTCCATATAGGAACCGCTTGCTTACTTGAAATTAAAAAAAAAACACCCGTAAAGTACCTAAAAAGTATAGATCACAGCCGTCTCGTTTTGGCTAAAATGAAAAATCCATATTGTGTACTAATTCCCGGTTTATTCGCTTTAATTACGCAAAGGTCAATTAACCCAGACTCCCCTTTGCAAATTGCCTTATGGGAATTCCCTACAGCAACAGTTTTTTATCGTACTTAGGTTTATGTAGCTGTATGTAGCTGGGTAAAATTTACGCGAAGTTTTAATTCTAAGAATATTGTAATTAATGTGTTTGCTGTAATCCTTATTTTATGTCATTTTATACGTGGAAGAAAGACAAAGGTTTCGTGATAAAAATATTTGTTTTGTATGCTACTTATGATGCTTGCATCAGCCTAACGGGTACAATTTATAGTGGTCGTTTTTATTTTGATTATGATATAACGACTATAGATAATTAAGAATAGGCGTACAGAAGGCAAGATACAGACAAACATAAAGTTATTTTTGCCTATCTCAGCTCGCTTTCTGAGAAATTAAGCGTTCAAGTTATTAATAGTCGTTTTGTCACATTGTTATTTATGTTTTGTTAAAGGTCATAGATAAAAAATTGAGCACTTCTCAAATATAATAAGGAAAATGCTAATAAATCCACGTGTTAATAATTATCATTTAAAATACATAATATATTTATGACTCTGATTCTTTGAACATTTTGCATAATTTAATTTTTATGTTTTATTACTACCGCGAAGTTAATTCGACGTCAGTGCTGTTTCCATTAGAGATCGCTCGAATCGAAAAAAAAATCAATTATAATTTATTATTTAATAATAAAAAAATACGTACGCTATGACGACGACGCCAATTTTATTAACTTGTTTGAGTGTCTAACGCGGTCGATATAAACAAGATTAGATGAGCCAACCTGTTGTGATATAACGACAAATTAAGATTCTGTGAAAAGCCGATTATTTATTTATTGAATTTGACTTTTTGTTTTAATTCGTTGGAAATTGTTTCGTTTTTAATTTTTTCGAAGTCTTAGGTACTTACTTAAATTAATCTATTTAGCCATAAAGTTCACAGGTCACGGCCAAATTTAAAAAATATAAAAAAAGCGCGGGAAAACTTCTAATTATGTTTTAATATCGATGCCCGTAATGATGCGTGACAATTGTGGTGTGCAAACTTCGAAAAAACCATCGATACGTGACATTCTTAATTAGAGGGGACATGCTCTGCTTCTGCTGTTAATGGGCAGGTTCGTCCCGGGAAGTACCACGACGCTAAAAAAAAATCGGCCTAAAAGGGGCTGTATTTAAAGCAACATAAACCGTATGCTCGCTTGCCACCTTCTCGCGTAAAAAAACCTTCCCAGGCGTCGTGTCGCGGCCAGAACTGGTTATGACATATTCTACTATTGACTGCCCAAGGTCGTCGTCGATGGAACTAATTTAAAACATATCTTTGATTTATATATTTTGGTTTCAACCGATCCGTGCTCAACTAAATGTATAGAAAGCGAACGTGTGGTAAGAGTTAAAAACCGCCGCATTAAAATATTAAAACGTGATTTTTTGTAAATAAATAGACAAAAACTTTCGCCGCTGCGGGATTCGCAGTATATCCTGGTAACTTTAGGGACTTACAAATATACTGATGGGAGACACTATGTAAGATTTTTCCGTTGTCAATGTTTCATTTGATTCATTGGCATACATTTCTTATCTAAACAAAATATAATAGTCCAATAAAAATCGTGAACTATGAAAGATAATAAATTTCACTGACATTGCGCCATCAAAACTTTTTGCCACAGGTAAACAATCTAAAAGTTAAACTTTAAACAGATGAGTGACAGCTATAATTTCATCATCTAATGCTTTTTAGCCTTCCATACCCAAAGGGTGAAATGGGAGTCTATTACTACAACTCCACTGTCTGTCTGTCTGTCCATCTGTCACCAGGCTGCGTCTCAGGTACCGTGATAGTCAGACAATTAAAATTGTCACAGATGATGTATTGCTGCTGCCGAGTCCGACTCGCACTTGGCCTTATTTTTACAACCAGTTTCGTAAAGAATTTCAAACGTACATTAAGTTACATTAAGTACTGTGTGGTACCCTATGTAGTGGAATTTCCACCGACGCGGGCTGGTTCCACTTTATCTATTACTAAATTGACCCCTAAGTTAAACACAGCACACAGTAATCCCAGAAATGTATAAAATTAATGTGTCCCTCACCGAATTATGTTGTTTCTTTCTTGTCTCTGCTAGTCCCGGGACAGTCAGTTCAATCGCTAATGATGAATTTCTTCCGCGAAGAAGCGCGTGCGCGTTCACGACAAAACTCGAAGATGACAGTTCCTATTATATTTTTTTCGCCAATCACCCGACGCCAATGTTGCCAGCGTTGCTCAGGTGTTGTCTAGTTACAATTTATTTTATTCACCTCGTTACCTATCCTACCTGCGACACCTCTCCACACAACTATATCCTAGTTGTGTGGAGCGGTGTCGCAGGTAATGAAATGCGCTCAACCACTATGTAAAGAGGCCATTTCTTAGCATTAAGGATATAGTTCTATATGCATAGTTCACTTCATGTATCGAAGTCTTTGCTTTAAGAAAAATTCGACAACCGTGGATGTTTTCTAACCATACATGTTCACATTAGTACCAGGACAACATGAAACGGATTCCGTTCGCAGATGAGGCAACTGCTGCTGCTTGGGCTGCTGGCACTCTGTCGAGCCCAGGGCGAGACTGGGGACCTGGACGCGGTGATAAAGCAGATCTTCGGCGATCCCACCGCCTCGACGGCGGCGCCCGTCGCGCCACCCTCGACCCTGGTACCAGGAGTACCGAAGAAGGAGGGTAAGCTCAACTTCATAATGATGTAAATATACTTCAAGAGCTCTTTATCGCCTTCAATTCGATATACTCGAGCAACCTGAGTTCGATCCCCGATGCCCGGCATTGGGACATGTATAGGCTTGATACTTTACTGACGGACCCTACAGACGGTGTCCTGTGCACACGATTTATATCCGACCACAAATTATAAATAAAAAAAACACAAACACATTGTAGTGGCCGAATTGTGAATCTACCGTTCTGGAATCGACCTGAAGAAAAGACAAATCTTATCGTTTAAACGAGCAATTCTTGTATATATATATATAGTCGGAATCTCGGAAACGGCTCCAGCGATTTTCATGAAATTTTGTATGTGCGTAGATTCGGGGGCGAAAAATCAATCTAGCTAGGTTTCATTTTTAGAAAATGCCCTTTTATCCCTGTTTTCCCTTTTTTTTAAAGCTCTTTCTTTCGTGAAAAACATCAGTTCATATTTTCTTATTAATACGTCGGTCTTACGTCGGTAAGATCGAAAAATATTATGCATATTTCATTACTCAGTAATTTGTATCTAAATGTAATTTCCAAAATACACGATTTACCAAAAAAAAAAAAAACAAACCGAGCAAAGCTCCGGGTACTAATAATAAAAAGACAAGACAAATAATTTCATTACAATCGTTCCAGCCGTTTAGGAGGAGTTCAGTGACATACACACGCACAAAAGAATCATATATAATGTAAAGATATACCAATCTAATGAAATATTATATACCCTTACACATCCCGAGGTTCAGGCTAGGCTCCTCGAGCGCCCGGCCACTCAAGTCAGTCGGATCTGTAAAGGCCAACAGTGGCTCATCCAGCCAAAAAAATTAATAAAAAAAACCTTATACCATACCCTTTTTACATTTTGAATATACCTATTCACTATGGACTATTTCGATATTATACACAGTTTTGTTTTTAATCTCTTAATAGCGGATCCGAGTTTGCAAACATTTTATACTCTATGCAGTACTTATACTATTTCTACTTACATTATACAAGAGTCGCTAAAGGTTCATATCATTGATCAGTGGTTAAATTAGGTTTTTGTAGTATTAGCGAACCATAATTGCAGTTTTTTATCATTAGCGTCTACGTTTGACTTAATAACTACGCAGTAGTGGATGGAAATGACTTTTAAACGAAGGAAATATGATTTATTGCTTTAAAATAATCAGTAATTATATAAATATTGTTGAATATCAACGTTTGTATTAAAGTTATATTACTAGTGTAAATTAAAATTAGATTAATAGTGTATTTATCTTTGTTTTATGAAGTTAATGTGATTCTAGGAACACCAAAGATACCGATAGAACAATATTAAAAAATTGTGTGTGTATTTATGTACACACGTACAAAGTTATAGGTACTTCTTTATCGTAACAAAAGAAAAATAATTAATAATTCTATCGTCTGTGTCAGTACTCTTTGTTTGTGAAAAATACATTAAAAGCAATTGATAACAACTTAAATCTAATATATAAAATTCCCGTGTTTGTAAAACTCCTCCGAAACGGCTCGACCAATTTTCATGAAATTTTTGGTGCATATCGGCCAGGGTGGAGAATCGGACAAAATCAATTTTTCATCCCCCTAAATGTTAAGGGTGTTCCACCCCAAACATTTTTTTCTACCCTACAAATAATTTATATGGCAAAACAATGTTTGCCGGGTCAGCTAGTATATCCATAACTTGGACTTACAGGTTAATTTTAAAAAGTTGTTATCGGTTGCCATGGGTTTTTCGTGACAATTCGGCCTTTTTTCAATTTTTTTTTTCGTGTAGGCCCCATCTGACAAACCCGTGCCGTGCGAGGGGGAAACTCTTTCTAAAAATCGATGACGAAATTCTCAAATCGTTTCAATTGTGGTAGGGCCACGCAACGGTGTTTACTGTTGCACGAATGAGCAGGTCCGTCCGGATAAGTACCACGACCTCACAGAAGACCGGCGTAAAGTAGAAGTGTTACGATTCTGCGTTTCGTCTGGTGAGTGAGGTAGCCACCTTTATTTAAAGGTGGCAACGCTTCTGCAACACAACGAGTATTGCAAATGTCCATGGGCGGCGGTTATCACTTAACATCAGGTGAACCGCCAGCTCGTTTGCAACTTTTTCACATTAAAAAAAGCGCCATAATTCCACCAATGCTTCGAATTCATCCGATGTCTAGATGCGGCGGACACCAGCTGTAAGATGGACGACGGCCGAGTGGGCGAGTGCGTCAGATATTATCTATGCAACTCCAACAACTCGGTCATCACCGATGGAATAGGCATCATTGATATACGGTAAGCGGTTTTTGCTGTCAGCGGAAAAGACGCTGCTGTGACGATTGTCATCGCCACGCAGTATTGTCAGTGTTAAGGGGCAGGCCCGTCCGGGGAAGTAACATGACTTCACAGAAGACAAGCTTAAAGTGGAAGCATAATACTTTCGCGTTTCGTCTGGTGAGTAAGGTTGTCAACGCATCTGCAACCCTCGGGTGTAGCAGAAGTCCATGAGCGGCGGTATTCACTTAACATCAGGTGAACCGCCTGCTCGCTTGGTAACTTTTCACATAAAAAAACGGAAGATCGGCGTAAAGGGCCCATAACAGACTACTCCACGACAGCTGATGACCCAAGTTGCGTAGTGGATAGTGGCGTGTCTGTTACATTTGATGGGGTTCAATCCCCACTACGGGAAAAATGTTGTATGGTTTATATTATATAGTATTTAATGTATGTTTGCAAGATAAAACTACGGTTTTATAGCGCTCATTACAATATACAGTCGCGAACAACAAGCAGTTATATTAAGTTTTTGACAGTTTTGTCTTTGGCAGTACACAAGCGCAACTTTAGCAGGCCGCATTTAATTTCTATCTAATTGATAAACTGTTTCTGTTCATTATTAACTTGATAATTGACCGTGGCACCACGGAATTAATGACGTCGTTTGTCATTTTTTTTTGTTTTGGCTGGATCAACCACTTGTTGTGCTGGCCTTTATAGATCGTAGTCAATGCGAGACGGTGTAAACGATGGTGATTTTACCATTGTTACAGCGTCCGCGACGGCCCCTGCGCTTCGTATATGGACACCTGCTGCCTGCCGCCTGACACTCGGGAGGTCAACAACCCGATCACACCGCCTCCCGTCACACAACCCCAGGTACGCCTCCGTTATGTTCTCCTAGTACCTTCACGCTCTCTCACACGCAGTTAGTAGGAACCTTTTTCAAAGTCAAAGGCAAAATACTAGCGACCCGCCCCGGCTTTGCACGGGTGCAATGTATACATAAAACCTTCCTCTTGGATCACTCTATATATATGTAGTGTTATGACACTAACGCACCGAAATTGAGGCAATAAAATTACAATTGTAGTAATTAGATTGCAAATTCTATATAGTGCTATCTCTTTCCATATAATACGTTCTAAATCATCTGTCACATTCAGTTATATATGTCATATAACATTACATTATATGCCGCGCAGTATGGATATGCGTCGTCTATATCATTAAACATAATTGGTACCTATAGTTTTGAACTCACTGCCATCAAGCAAACCCGACGCAATCCGTGCATTTCCTATGAGAAAAATGGACATTTCTATGCCTCTGAGTCACTATCGCAACTCTAAGGTCGCTTGCTGATTGCGCAAACCGAAGCGAATACTAGTATGAAGTTAAACAGTAATTAGATAATTTTTTTTGACACAATAATATTTATTTATTTAATACTAGCGGCCCGCCCCGGCTTCGCACGGGTATTTAACAAAATTTTTAAAACATAAAAATTATCATACACACACATAAAACCTTCTGAATATTTCGTCTTTGGGGAATAATTTTATGAATTTCTTCATCTTTTAATGAAATACCTGTAATAGTCTGGTCTCCCATAGCTTCGGACATAAATCATCGCATCTGGTTTTTTCTTTGACCGATGTCTGATGATCCGATGTTTGATGAGCCAATGTCTTGATTTAAAGCGTCTCTAAGATGAATGTTTCACCAGCCCTCAGTCTCTGGTGATTACGACTTCATATGTAATTCAATTTTTATGATATCTTTTTGCCGTCATATCGACAATGTATTGAAAAAAAAAACCGGCCAAGTGCGAGTCAGACTCGCACACGAAGGGTTCCGTACCGACCTCACAGAAGACCGGCGTAAATTAGAAGTGTTATACTTCTACGTTTCGTCTGGTGAGAGAGGTAGCCGGGGCCCATTTTATTTAAAGATGGCAACTCATTTGCAATCCTACAGGTGTTACAAATGTCCATGGGCGGCGGTTATTACTTAACATCAGGTGAACCGCCAGCTCGTTTGCGACTCTATCACATTAAAAAAAATCATGTTTTATTATCTTTATTCAATATAGAAGTATTACACTTAGATATTGTCAAAAACACTACTACTGTCAACATTATCTATAAAAACGGCCAAAAAATTATGTCTGTTTTATGGGAGCCCCACTTACTTATATTTTTTTTTGTTTTTTGGTATTTTCTGTTATCGGCAACAGAAATTCATCGTTTGTGAAAATTTCAACTGTCTAACTATCACGATTCATGAGACACAGCCTGATGACATATGGACAGACATACGGGCATACAGACGGACAGCGGAGTCTTAGTAATACGGTGCCGTTTCACCCTTTGGGTACGGAACCCTAATAAGTCCCAGTAATAATGCAATGGCTTAAAACAGGTAGCTCTAACCATCAACCTAAATGCATACAATTGCATGCATGTCATAGTTTTGTTACGCACAGTACCTTGCTGAGGAATAGTCAAATACTCACCGTCTTCTCCTATTACGACTATTAAGGGATATTTTTATGGATCATACAATCGGTGTAACTCAGAGACCCTTTTAAGTTGGCCGTGTCTACCGTGCAACACTATAATCTCTGGGGCCTTTTTAGGATGCCGTACCCAAAGGGTAAAACGGGACCCTATTACTAAGACTCCGCTGTCTGTTTGTCCCTCTGTCAACAGGCTGTATCTCATGAACCATGATAGTTACACAGTTGAAATTTGATCTGGTTATTTATTTCCCAAGGAGGGTTGACGTCAAGCAGGCGGCTGGTTGTAAAAATATAGCCAAAACCTTTTACAACATGATTCATGTTGTGCCGACCCCACCTAGGTGGGATAGGGGCAGGAGGATGATGATAACTTGTATACTTGTCCCTCTATTTTAAAAGTTCGCGTCAAACGAAGTCATTTGAAAGAGGCTATTGTACTTTTGGATGTTGGTTAAATGTGTCCTGATGGTGAATGATTATTTGTAAAAAGTATTTTTATTGGTTATGGCGGCTCCTCAATATTGGGGAGACTACTTTTCTAGAAGCACAACACATACCATTTGGTTCATCGACCCATTTTTGGCAGAACACTTAGAGCAGATCTTATTCGTGGCTATGATTTGGACGGAAGACTGTTGAGCAAAATGCATGAAAGCTGATCTGTTACTGTGAGCTAAAACTCGATCACGAACTCTAGATGTTTTTCTTCACCGTTAACAGTGTTGCAGTTATTAAATCTTGGAACAGTATATTATTATATCATTTTGTAAACGAGTGCTTATAAAATTATATAATCTTTAACCGTAATTGTTCGCAAGTAAATATACTTGTATTTATACAGTGTATTTATCATTAATTTTATTAAAAAATGGTGAGACATGACACTAAGATAAAGTAGCGACATCTAGTTAGGATTTGCGGTTCTATGCGACTAAGTTAATATGCCCTGAACACTAGACAGCTCCACTTCCCATACAAAATATTTTTACCAGCTCAAAGTATGGCACTGTCACCCCCCTGGGAGTGACTGTTAAAACTAAAATAAATGCTTCCTTCAAAACTATCAAGACAAGACGTTGACAATCAATGTCGCCACAGAGTAGTTTTATTTTCCGACTACTTAATCTCTTACAAAAAACTTGTTTTTTGCTTTCATTGCTAAATACTTATTCGGATTTGTTATATTACTGTATTACTGGTCACGGTAATGTGCAAAAATTTCGTATGGGTCAACTATAAGCTTTCCTGAGTTGTTCAAATTTTTTTTTTTTTTGTCCCGGCTGGGCAAAGTCTCTCCGAGCCTTATCGTACCCAATCGTTTGTCTAGATGTTTTATTGAATGGCTGAATTTCATTAAGACTTAACTAATTAATTACACTCGAGAAACCTGAGTTCAAAGCCCGGTGCCAGCACCAATCAGTTAATTTTACGTGCTGACTTATCACGTGCTAAGCGGTGAAGTAAAATATCATATTTTAGAAATTATAATAAAAAATATAACGGAGATATGTAAATTCCATCAATCTGAATCCTCCTCCACCTCCTTTTTTGAAGTCGGTTAAAAACTGCCCTTGTCCAGCGGTGGACTATGTATAGGCACATCACATTAAGACGGGTGGTCGATCGACGCCATTCAGTAAAAAGCCTTGACTGTTAACTGAGCAATTTGGTTCTGTCTTCAACATTTAGATATACTAACTTCGAATTTCCCTCCACGAAGTTCAACCTATATGTATCTAAATGTTACTTACCGTGGGAGGGTCACGTAGCCGATTTTTCTGTTGCACGAATGGGCAGACTCGTCCGTGAAAGTACCACGGTCAAACAGGAGGCCAAACAGTACCACGGTCAAACAGTGATGTCATGATGTGGGAGTTATACTTTCGCGTTTCGTCTGCTGATGAGGTATTCTGCATTCTTTATTAGGCTGCTTACTTATCTCCTAATTGAACCTATGATGTATATATATATATATATATATATATATATATATATATATATACAATTTTCATTTTCAACCGACCGAATTTCACAAATAGAACAGGTTCTTAATTGGTTTCTTTTTTAATATTTATAGCCGTCACTTATACAATCTTAAATAAATAAAATACTTTTGACAATTCTCTTACAACAGGAGATACTTTCCTTATATACAAATAAAACCATTCTCATTAAAGTCCCAACTATGACAACATTCTGTTATCGTGTGACCCCAAAGACCACTTTATCTCTGGTTTTACTTTAAGACGCTATCATGGGCACATGAGGGGAGGATAATATTTGTGTAAACCGCAGATAATTGTCCCAGATCTGGATGTTTTGTTTCCTAGGAGGCTTGAAGTAATAAAAAATTTAGGAAAAGCGAAGGTTCTATATCGTTCGATACACGAAAATCAAAACTTTTTAAAACTTGCATACATAAATAACGATTAAATGGATATAGGAAATTGTTCAAGGCAACCATTTCCTATGTCCGTTTAATTGTTAACTGTAATTGAATGAAAACCTAATTACTCTTTTAACTATTCATCACAGTACAGGACGTGCGAAAATGACTCCGGCGTGCCGCCATTTTGTAGTGACGTCATTGCATCATATTATGAGTAGTAATACTATTTTTATTGTTGAATAGCCCTCAAAATAAAACTCAATCTCTCGTTTAATATTTTTAGTGTTCTATTACTAAGACTCCGCTGTCTGTCTGTCTGTAACAGGCCACGTATCTCATGAACCGTGATAGTTAGACAATTAAAATTTTCACAGATGATGTATTTCTGTTGCCGCTATAACAACAAATATCTCCAATACAACAAAAATGATTTTTTGACGTTTTTATAGATCCGTATCTATTTCTTTTCGTGCGCGAGTTCGACGCGCACTTGACCGGTTTTATGTTATTTATGTCTGTTACCCCAGAACTCGATTATGAACCGATTTTAAGAATAAGAGAAATCTTTCAGCTTTGGGTTTTAGTTCTCATGTGGTGCCATATTGATTTTATGGGTATCGAACCTTCGAATTTTTTTTATGTGAAAATTTGCCAAGCGATCTGACGGTTCACCTGATGTTAAGTGAATACTGCCGCCCGTGGACATCCGCTACACCCGAGGGTTGTAGATGCGTTGACAACCTTTTGAAAAATGGGCTCCGGCCACCTCATTCACCAGACGAAACGCGAAAGTATTATACATCCACTTTACGCCGGTCTTCTGTGAGGTCATGGATATTTATCCGGACGAGCCTACCCATTCGTGCAACAGCCGAGGCTGCTGCGTGGCCCTACCACACTCCGGAAATATACAGGGGAACTCTTGAAAATCAAACGGAATATGTAAGGCATTTGTAATCTAAGTATAATGTGTTTTTTTTAACCGACTTCAAAAAAGGGGAGGTCCTCAATTCGAATGTAATATTTTTTAATGTTCGTTACTTCAGATCTTTGAATCGATTTTGATGATTCTTTTTTATTTGAAAGCTGGTGCTTCCCATGTGGTCCCATATTAATTTCATTGGTATTGGATCTTGGGCTCCGGAGATACTTAGGGAACTCTTGAAAATCAATTATAAAATTAACACAGAGCGAGATATTTTAAGTCGGTTTTGTTTCCCGTTAATAAAAACTCATTGGTTAACAAAATTGTTAATATTTTGGATCCAGGACTATCGACCGCTTTGCTTTGTTGGTTAAGCGTCTGGGCGCGAAACCAGAAGACGCAGGTTTGAATCCCGGAGCGAAGATAATTTTTGACCATTTATTAATGAAAAGTCTTATATATAAAATTGTACTATTACTGTTAAGTCATTGTATAAGAATGAAAGCAGGAACGAAGTTTCTTAACAGTTACTCCGAACGAGTCTACACTTACCAATCCGTGGCAGATTTATCGCTTAAAACGACCGGAGAAAACCGTAATAAAGTAAAAAACTACACTATGCACAAAGTAGACTACGTTCGCGATAACGCGTAATGTTCCACGAGAAGTCATCGAGAATTATCACCTCATTTTGTTTGCGTACGAATAGACGTACATAACAAAATTACGAAAATCAAACGACTTTGAGGAAAACGGGACGCGACGGGTCAAATAGAGTTGGCTCTCGAGGTCAGCCAGAGGTCACATTATTACCTCAAGGTCTGCCGACCACTGGTCACCGATCGCGGAACTGGTTTTAAGAGGCGCCTTCGACGTCAAATTCAAAGCCTAGTCTAAATTTCGTCAACCAATGTGGACTTGTATGACGCTTCTGTTGATCGTCAAAAACTACCACCGGTTCACTAACTTAGACCTTTCCAGAGAAGAACCGGCAAGAAACTCTGCGGTCTTATTCTCTCTTTTTTTAAGGTTCCGGACCCAAAAGACTTTGCTTTTTGTCTGTCCGTCTGTGTCAACGGGCTGTATCTCATGAATCGTGATAGTTGCCGCCATAACAACAAATACTAAAAAACAGAATAAAAAATATTTAAGTGGGGCTCCCAGACAACAGACATGATATTTTTTGTAGTTTTTACAGATGGTACGGAACCCTTCGAGTGCGAGTCCGACTCTCACTTGGCCGGTTGTTTATATTTTTGTGGTTATACTACTTTTGGCCCGTTTGGGAATATTTACGATGCGCACCTAAAGGAGCATAGTCTTTATGGTGTTACCATGGCAACCGATAACAACGTAAACCCGTAAGTACAAGATATCTAATTTAAACCATAATCAGTTTTTCACAAACATAGAGTAGCACGGGATAAAATTTTAGTTCTTTTTCTTACGTGCGTACATAACACGTTTAAAATAACGTTTTTTTATTTATGTACCGTTTGAAACTAAAAAACTGGCTTTTTAAATGTCATTTGAGTTGCCAAAAGGATGGTTAAACTCTACTGTGAATTGATCAGAATTGCCATTTGACAGCTGATTAGTTAAGTTCTACGATGATCAGTGTTTCAGAAACCGGGTATTAGCTATCAGGGCAGGGCTTTCTGCCGCGCACATCCAAGTTGTGATATCAGTTGTCGTCAGCAGCATTACCGTACATTGAGAGTCTAGATAGCACTTAACTTCGATCGACCCGCTTATCGCTCTTTCATACACATTTAGGACTTCATGTATTTTTTTGCCCCTTTTTTTAGTGCCATATTTTCGCTTAAAAAGCTATATCTGAAATATACTTTGTTATATAAGAACAATATATAATATTTATACATTTATGATGATTTAAGGTGTCTAATTCAATTAAATTCTAAAGACATGCGTCATCTATCTTATTAAACGTCATTGCTGCTTGACGTTTAAAAATTGTTTCGCTTTACTTTTGATATCTGACATATATAAGTGTATGAGACAGATGATACAGAACGTATGATACGGAAAGAGATAACAGTCTAATAACACCAATCTAATTACACCAATTGGCGTAATTTGATTGCCTCAGTTTCATACCTACCTCGTATTTTATAATATTATTGGGTACGACCTTTGATTACGCACTCGCCTTGTCTATATTAAACACTTGACAAGTATATAATCAAAGGGTAAGACAGTGGACAGGACAGACAGTCGAGTCCATTTTCGAGGCGTCGTTTGTCGTTATCTGACATAATCCCGATATAGAGAAATAAATTGACATGCACCTGTCACCGTCATAGTTAACTGTCTATTGAGAAATAATTGAGCCATGTTTGATTTTACAGTAACGATTTATATACCAAAAGGAACTTACTATAAATAGATTCTTATGCTAAGCCTATTCAAAACGACCTCGCGATAGCCCCCACAAGACCAAGTTTACCGGTTGATTGTATTATGGTACAAGAACGGATAAACGTACTTCTTTTGTAAATAAACTCAAAGTCAAAATTATTCAATATAGGCTTATTTTAAGCTCTTATTGAACGTCAAAAACTGCCACCGGAGCCTGCAAGACATTCTGCTGTCTTATCTTTCTTTTTATTTCTTTGAATTATGTAAGTATGTAGGTACACAAAAGTATTTAAGTAAAAAACTAGCAGGAGCCAGGGGACTTGCAAGTGCAGAGCAAGAGTCATTCCCACACATCCTTGTCTTCAATGCATTCCTCGACATTATAATAGTCCCTTTCCATTAAGGTAGCTTTTACAAAATGTCTGAAATTATGTACACTTGATTGTTTTTGGATGTCACATTGTAGATGTATAAACACCCTGACACAAGAAAAACACTGCGACGCACAATAGTTTTCCAGTAGCGGAGATCGAGCCCAAACCCTCTGGCGCAAAAGACAGGTTAACTATCCACTACGCCAACTGGACCGTCAAAATAACATTTGCATATTGTTGTGTGTGTTTTGCCACCGCGCTCCGGAAATTATTGCCTTATAATAATATAAACTTTCGAATTGATATTTTCCTTCTTTTTGAAGTCGGTTAAAAACCGTGCGTTGAGAGCCCTTGAACGTTTCACTAGTACACAGCGCTACCTATTTTATATAAAACACAAATCAATCAATTCAATCAATTATTTTCCATGTTAGTGTACATTACAAAAATACAATATGTTACAATAATGAAGCGAATTTACTTAGATGCCCTTTCCAGGCATTGCATTAATCTTGCTTAAGGCATGTTACTCATACTCAATTAAATCTAATACCTTTAAACGAGCTATTATAATCGGAATCTCGGAAACGGCTACAGAGATTTTCATGAAATTTTGTAAGTGCGTAGATTCGGGAGCTATAAATCGATCTAGCTAGGTTTCATTTTTAGAAAATGTCCTTTTATCCCTGTTTTCAGGGAATGACAAATATAATTCGAAAATGACGGTAAATTTCGCCGAAAAAAAATGTTATAATAGCTCGGTCGGTAATCGGGCGGCCCCGAAACAGAAGTTCGTGTCACGATCATTTACACACTTATTTTTTTTACCTTTTTTTCTATATCAGATCATTGCTTTCTTTATCTTTTATTTTTTTAATTTCCAAAATACACGATTTACCAAAAAAAGTCCTCCAGGTACGACTAATTAAACCATAAACATATTTATATTTAAACTAATACTTTTCTTTTCTTATGGCTCTAAATTTTTCATATTTATATGCTCTAAATATTACGGATTTTCTTTTGAATGGTCATTTCAATTTTGATGTGTCTGAACTTTGGTAATTCGGTAACATTTTTAATTTCTTTGTGTAATTTATTCATCGTCATAATTTTCTCAGTCATCAATAAGCAGGGACGTATATAGGGTTTCAACAATTTTTCCACTGATCTCGGTACTGTTTAGGTCTTTGCAACTGTTTTACCCCAGGAGGGAAAAGGAAGGGTACGTTACCCCTCCTTTTTTCTGAGCACCGCCATGTATTTCTTGGCCGTTTCCTGATCAGGGCCAGTTTAGTGAGGTGGTTGTCAGACCTTCCTAGGGAGTGTCCAATCCAACGTCGAAGGTCTACTTGTGGGGATGACGTTTATGGTATGCAATATACGCTCTCAAAAGAGCCTATATTGACTTGACTTTGGCGTTCTTTCTGTGGTTCTAAATGAACGCGTACGCCGTGGCAGCGGTCCTCAAAAGGACCTAACCGAAGACGTTTGAAAACACAAACGTCTTCAGTTAGGTCTTCTTCCTTGTCGTTCCCCCACTAATGAGGATCGTGACCATATGTAATTTGTCTCAATTTGCTTCTTTCCTGCGCCAGTTCAATGGATCGTTGTAGAGTTTCGCCTGTTGCAGGGTGATTTTTTATACGAAGTACATACTTTGACATAATGTAAATTGAGCATTCCATAATTTAAAAGAGTTGCAACAGTATTCTTCCAAGGCAAGCGATATATAGGGTGTTACTTTAATTTTTTTTAGTATGGTCTAGTATTTAACATGTGCAACTCTCCAGAGGGTGGGTTGCGGTTGGCGGAATCCCGACGGTGTGGGTTTCCGAATCACCGGCGACAAAGACGGCGAGTCGAAGTTCGGCGAGTTCCCATGGACTGTCGCCATCCTGAAGTAAGTACACCCTCGATTCTGATACTTCTCCATCATTATTCATCGTGTATCTTCTGGTTTTTACTCTTAGGGACTTTTTTATAAATAAAGTAAAAGTAAAGTATCACCCTATACAATTGTCCCAATGCTGGGCAAGGGCCTCCTCTGTTCAGAGGGTACAGAGGAGGCCTTGAAAATTAACAATTTCATTGGTGCCGGCACCGGGTATCGAACTCAGGTCGTTCGAGAATATTGAATTAAAGGCGAGCGCCTGGACACTGAGCTACCACGGCTCTACTTCAGACTTTGTTAACATGACGGCATACGAGCGGGCGGTTCAACTGATGTTAAGTTATAACCGCCGCCCATGGACATTTGCGACTGTAGGGTTGCAGATGCGTTGGCACCGGTTACATGACAGACTAGACGAAACGCAGAAGTTAAACTATTCCAATGCACGCCGTTCTTCTGTGAGGTCGTGGTACTTCTTCGCATGAGCTTGCTCATTTGTCAGGGTCGGATTTAGGGAAGGGCAACCGGAGCTATAGCCCTGAAAATCTAAAAAAAAATGTAATTCAGACTATTAAACAATTTTTCTTCATATTTTTTTCGTGTACAAACGTGACACTAAATATTAACCGAAATCATCGATCTATATTCGTTAATGTATGTAATGTTCCTACGAAATGTGTATGCTAATAATTGGTATTTCCGAGTTCAGTAGTGAGTTTTGTACATATTGTTTCCTTGTGAAAATAACATTTACCTAAATCGGGAATTATGGAAGGTCACAACCTCTTTAGTAATTATCTATCCGTTTTTGGGCTTTACCATCGTCTCATATTGTGATAGCTATGAGGAAAATATCGACCGAAAACTTAGATCAAGGACATCCTCGAATATGCCGCAATAACATGAACAAATATATCGCGAGCAACAAACTGCGCTTTTGCATAATCCTATACCGGTGACGTAATCGTGTGTTGACCCAACAAGTTCGAGGATAGCAACATGGCGATTTATACATCCGCCATATTGTTATTATAGCGGTATATTATACATAAATTGAAGTTTTGCTTATAATAATTTTTGCTAATACGGTGGTCGAAAAAGTCTTCGTTGGCAAGTCCTTCCTGTTAAGTGCCACGAACTCACAGAAGACTGACGTAAAGTAAAAGTGTTCTACACTGGTCTGGCGACTGAGGTTGCCGGGGCGCACTTTATTAATAGTTTGCAACGCATCTGCAATCTTACGGGTTTTGAAAATGTAAATGGGCGGCGGTTATCACTTAACATCAGGTGAACCGCCAGCTTCTCACATAAGCAAAAAAAACATCAATCGATTCTGATTGAGCTTCCACCAATCTATACGATTGGTAATTTTTACGAATTCTCCCTTTTAATAAAAACAACAACCCAAAACACGATATATGCGAATTAGTTACTATCGGACTCTTAAACGTGACAAGTTTCTGGTAACGCGTTTGAGGTTCAAACCCGCGACTAAAGGACTCACAAAGCTGTTGCTACGACAGCGAGTTTCTTATCATGTTAAATATCGCCAAGCGATGTTAAAAGTTGCCCAATGAGCGGTTCACCTGATTTTAAGTGACCACCGCCGCCCATGGACATCAGTGACACCTGCGAAACCAACGAAACCAGACGAAATGCGAGAGAATAATACTTCCACTTCATGCCTCTCGTGTGTGGGCCGTGGTACTTCCCGGATAAGCCCGTATGACAGCAGTAGCTATCCCGTGGACCACAACCTTTAAAAAAGTTGGTGTCTTCTGATAACTTACCCACCAGACATACGGCGAAAGCAAAAATCCACTTCACGCTGGTCTACTGTCCGCCGTGGTACCTCGTGAACCTATCGCGTGGCCCCACCACAACCCTTAAAAATATGGGCGGCATCTGCTATCTCACTCAACAGACGCAACGCGAAAGCATGAATTCACTTCATGCCGGTCCCATATCCGCCGTTGAACTTCCCGGACAAGCCGATTAGCGCGTCAGCAGAAGCTATCACGTGGCCCCAACACAACCTTTAAAAAATAGGCAACCTCTGTTACCACTCACCGGACAAAACGCGAAAGCATGAATCCACTTCATACCGGTCCCCTGTCCGCCGTCGTACTTCCCGGACAAGCCCATTCGTGCGTCAGCAGATGCTGTCACGTGGCCCCACCACAACCTTTAAAAAAGTGTACAACCTCTGTTACCACTCAGCAGACGTAACGCGAAAGCATAAATCCACTCCACACCAATCTCCTGTCTGTGGTACTTCCCGGAGAGCGCGAGCCCGCTCGCGCTATTGCACTCTAGCAGCATCAGGGGGTGAATAAAAGCAAATTTGACGTGACACCAAGAGAGGGCTCCGTGGACCCCAGGATCGAGCCGGTCAACGACAACGAGCCCGACGGCCAGCGGCTCAACGTGTACGTGGGCGGCGGCTCGCTCATCCACCCCAGCGTGGTGCTCACCGCGGCGCACTACGTGGCCGGGGGCGGGGCGCTGAGGGCGCGCGCCGGCGAGTGGGACACCCAGACCACCAAGGAGATCTACCCGTACCAGGACCGCGACGTGGCCAGGGTGGCCGTGCACAAGGACTTCAACAAAGGTGAGTCGCTCACGTCCGTTACCGTTTCACTCCGTTCCACTCGACTAAGCCGACCCGAGAAAGAGGGGTTATGTGTTTGTATCGCACACGGCCACACGCTTTTTCTTTTTTTTTTTACTTTTCTTTCTCTTTTTTTTATGTGAAAATGTGGCAAACGCACTGGTGGTTCACCTGATGTTCAGTGATAAGCCCTGCCTTTGGACAGTTGCAAATATATAGGGTTGCAGATGTGTTGTCAGTTGTCACCTTTTAACGAAGTGAGCCCCGGCTACCTCACTCACCAGATGAAACGCAGAAGTATAACGCTTCCACTTCTTGCCGATCTTCTTTGAGGTCGTGGTACTTGCCCGGACGGACCTGTCCTTTCGTGCAACAGCCATGACTGTTGCGTGGCCTTACCAAAGTTCTCTCCTTATTACCAGACTGCAGTGAAAGATCAAACAGGTTATGTGTTTGGTATATATGAATGCTTAAAACAAACATCAGTATTAAGCTTATGCTTTCCGTTATTGACGAAAATAAGAAAAATAGAATTAAGTTAATATTTTAATACCAAAACCACCATTTCAAAACTTATAAGTAATGTACGATAACGCCATCTATTTACAATTTGTTCAAAACAAAACTATTTACATATTATATGAAAATGTTGCCCAAGTAAAATCGATTACATTGTAATCAGGAAATTTTATAATACTTTAATATTTTGAGTTAAGAAAAATAACAAAAAAGAAGATTCCATTACTAAACGGTGGTGGATTCAAAAAAATATGACTATCGACAAATGAAATGTATGTTTCTCATGATGATGAATAAATGATTATGATTGTTGGAACGGGAATTCGAGTGTTTGCAACTGCTCAAGCCACCTCCTCCATCCTAAGGTAACCTGTTCTATGACATCGCGCTGCTCTTCCTGGCGACGCCAATGGACCTGGCGCCCAACGTGGGCGTGGCTTGCCTGCCCCCTGCCAAGGAGCGGGCTTCAGCCGGCACCAGGTGCTACGCCACCGGCTGGGGCAAGGACCGCTTCGGGAAGGAAGGACGCTACCAGGTCATCCTGAAGAAGGTTAGAGCAGCTCCAGCAGGAAACTTCTTATCTTTTTTTTAAAGCGTTGTCCTCGCTTTAGGATAACAGTATACTGTGTTGTAAGAACGTTTTACAAACGTAAAATGCACGAGGACAAACACCCAGATGCGAAAAAACTGTCTGCGGGTCGCACAAATAGTTGTTATGTGTGGGAATCAAGCCCAGGAGCCCCGACGGCGAATCCAATACCTTGGCAACTGCGCCACGGGGTCATCAACTCTTACATAACCGTCGATAGGACAAGTACGCTTGCTCTACCTCTTTTAGATATCGGATAGGACAAGTTGGGTTGCTTTTAGAGTTGTGATGCCTTTCCAAGTTGCAAGTTGATAGATTAAGTTTGGAATGAAGAAAGGGGTTACCCTTAGAGTGGTTGAGCCTTACAATATTAATACTTACAATATTAATTTAGGAAAATTTATATTGTAAGTATCTAGCCATTTACAACCATGGAACATATTTGAATAAAGGTAAATAAAGAATTTAGTTTTCTGAAGTCTAGAGTCTGTGGTTGTTTGTTTTCTATGGGAGCCTACGCAAATCGGTCAGCCGTTTGAATTTAACTAATATGAAAGAAGGAAAGAAACATATATTGCATAAATACGCCACATAAGGATTGAACAGTTTGAACATTTAACAGTTTGAACAATTTAAACTACAAACATAAAAAAAATCAATAGTAAAAGAAAATAATAATAATCATCGTAAAACAGACTTCATAGATAACTCGTGGGGCGTATACGGCAATACGAGACTACAGCGCTGAATACTATGTAGTTTGTTTTCGACGTGATTCCATTAACGCACAATAGATGGCGCGCGAATTATTTTAGATAATTTTATTTCGCTTATCGGGCATCAGGTTTGGGTGAAACTTTGCTAATGTGTTACCAAAGAGTACTTTTATCTATCTGAAATTATTAATATTTTATTTTTGTATATCTGTGTGTTACTATAGTTTGGCAGGCCATTAGCTTATTTTATATAAATCAGAATACATAAGCCAGAACATTTTATACGAAAGACTTGCTGGCTCCCGAGACATTATAAAAAGATCGTTTGGGATTTCAAAAGTCTTCGCTGAAGATGAAGATCGCGACCCGATAAAGTTTATGTCTGTGTCTATGTCTACGCCTATGTCCATGACCATGACCCTTAATCCGCAACCCATTTTTTTGTGTGAAAAGTTGCCAAGCGAGCACGCGGTTCATGATGTTAAGTTAATACCGCCGCCCATGGACATCTGCTACACCCGAGGGTTACAGATGCGTCGACAACCTTTTGAAGATTGGGCTCCGGCTACCTCACTCAACAGACGAAACGCGAAAGTTTTTGTTGTACTTCCACTTTACGTCGGTCTTCTATGAGGTCGTGGTACTTACCCGGACGAGCCTGCCCATTCGTGCAACAGCCGAGGCCGCTGCGGCCCTTCCACAGTTCACAATAGCGCCGTGCTATAACGGTGTGCCTTAAACAGGTCGAGCTACCGGTGGTTGACCGGAACACGTGCCGGTCGAAGCTGCGGGAGACCAGGCTGGGCCCCTTCTTCGAGCTGCACAGCTCCTTCATGTGCGCCGGCGGAGAGCCCGGGAAGGACACGTGCAAGGGGGACGGGGGATCCCCGCTCTCCTGCCCAATTCAGGTGCCTTTTTGTTTGTTACGTGAAAATCTGTCAAGTGGGCAGGTTGTTAAGTGAGTACCGCCGCTCATAGCATCTACGTCCCTGAAGGATATGCAGACGAGTTCGACCTATAAAAAAGTAGGCCCCGGTTATCAGGCATACTCACTTTCTGTAGTAATGATTGTTGTTACCACGAAATAGAAACAAAACTTCAACTTTATGAACCGCTCTAATAAATTAACAATTGTAACCTACCTACTATAAGTATATTTCTAATGTGATTAATGTGTGATAGATATAATTTTTTTTTCTTATATTTTTATTCTTATTGTAATGATTCATTATGATAATTTTAATTTAATTCTTCATTTGTAACTCTGTTGATGATTTGTTTGTTGTTTTACCTATAATTGGAGTAGCACCAATCTTGTGATGTACTCTTTTGGTGTAACTAATTAAATCTTTAGATAATTATATAATTCTTCCATACGCGTATATGTCACTGTGTCAAAAAAAAGTAAAAAAAAAATGTCACTGAACTCCTCCTAAGCGGCTGGACCGATTTTAATGATTGTGTGTGTCTTCAAACGATTCGAGAATGGTTTAGTTTCACAATTCGATCCCCTACATTTTATATTTATTTATTTTTTTCTAAATTGCCAAATTTAAGTCGTGTGTACACGACAACGTCTTTCCGGTCCGCTAGTAAATATATAAATAAATAAATAGGGTTCACGTATAGGCGGTCACTTTACCCAACTTCACGATTCCAGTACGAAACCGAGCGTTACATGCAGAGCGGCATCGTCGCGTGGGGCATCGGCTGCGGCGAGGACGGCACACCCGGCGTGTACGTGGACGTTGCCAACCTGCGCGATTGGATCGACGACAAGGTGGCCGGCGCTGGCTACGAGCCCAGGACCTACACGATATAGTGTGTTGGGATTGAAGTGTGCGCTGTGATTGGAGGGGGGGGGGGGGGGGGGGGGGGATATCTATTCGCGCCAAGTGTAAAGGTGTGAAATTAAAAATGGACAGTTTACTTATGAAAGCATTTTTATTACCTACCCAACACATTTAAAATGAGAACTGGAATGACTGTAGACAATATTTATGTCATACGCACCGCTTCGGGTATAGCAAGGCACTCTGTGAGCTGTGATGGGGGGGGAGGATATTTATCTACTACAGATAGTATGTCATCTTAAGCAGCTATCAGACTATACGATAATTACGGCCCAGCCCTTCTTTGATTATACTACTAAGGAACCTAACTGATTAAGGGCCCTAATTATTGTATAGTCGAATTGCTGCTTTATACAATATTGAAGTTAGAAAAGTTTGTTTGCTGGAACGAAGACATTTTGTAGGCATTTAGGATAGATAGTGTCCAAAAAATGTTATGTTGAAAATATAATAGACTAGCGGCCCGCCCCGGCTTCGCACGGGTAACAATTAGTTTAACAAAAAATTAAATAATTTAAAATTAACATACACACATATAAAACCTTCCGAATGTTTCGTCTGTGGTGAATAATTTTATGAATTTCTTAATCTTTTAATTAAATATCCTTGAAATTACGTTATGAAGATCGAAAGATCGCTGACCAGATAATGGTTTCGCTTTAATTACGGGACATTCGGGGTTACACGTAAAAGTGACAAATAAGTCTGGTCTCCCATAGCTTCAGACATAAAATCATCGCATCTTTGGTTTTTTAATGCAGATAATTCGGAGAACCTGTAAATGAATATGACGTTGCAGATTACGCGTTGACCGATATTTGATGGGCGAATGTCTTGATTTAAAGCATCTCTAAGATTAATGTTTCACCAGCCCTCAGTCTCTGGTTATTACGACATAATATGTAATTCAATCTTTCTGATATCTTTTTCCATCAGATCGACAATGTATTGAATAAAAAACCGGCCAAGTGCGAGTCGGACTCGCACACGAAGGGTTCCGTACCGACCTCACAGAAGACCGTGGTAAAATAGAAGTGCTATACTACATTTGCAACCCTACAGGTGTTACAAATGTCCATGGGCGGCGGTTATTACTTCACATCAGGTGAACCGCCAGATCGTGTGCCACTCTATCACATTAAAAAAAATCATGTTAATATCTTTATTCAATATAGAAGTATTACTCTTACATATTGTCAAAAACACTACTGCTGTCAACATTATCTATAAAACCGGCAAAAAAATCATGTCTGTTTTATGGGAGCCCCTCTTATTTATAATTTCTTTGTTTTTTAGTATTTATTGTTATAGCGGCAAGAAATGACAACGAAATACAACGTTTGTGAAAATTTCAACTCTAACTATCACGGTTCATGAGATACGGCCTGGTGACATATGGACAGACATACGGACATACAGACGGACAGCGGAGTCGTAGTAATAGGGTGCCTTTTTACCCTTTGGGTACGGAACCCTAATAAGTCCCAGTAATAATGTAAAGGATTAAAACAGGTAGATCTAACCATCAACCTAAATGCATAAAATTGCATGCATGTCACAGATTTGTTACACACGGTACCTTGCTGAGGAATAGTCAAATATTAACCGTCTTCTCCTATTACTACTATTAAGAGATATTTTAGTGGATCATACAATCGGTGTAACTCAGAGACCCTTTTAAGTTGGCCGTGTCTACCGTGTATATCTCTAGAGCCTTTTTAGGGTTCCATACCCAAAGGGTAAAACTATTACTAAGACTCCGCTGTCTGTTTGTCCCTCTGTCAACAGGCTGTATCTCATGAACCGTGATAGTTAAAGAGTTGAAATTTGATTTTTGAATTTAGGTTTTGTGGGTATTTGTTTCCCAAGGAGGCTTGACGTCAGGCAGGCGGCTGGTTGTAAAAATATAGTTGTGCCGATCCCACCTAGGTGGGATAGGGGCAGGAGGATAATGATAACTTGTATACTTGTCCCTCTATTTTAAAAGTTCACGCTAAACGAAATCATTTGAAAGAAGCTATTGCACTTTCGAATATTGGTTAAAAATGTCCAGATGGTGAATGATATTTGTCAAAAGATTTTTTAATGGCTGTGGCGGCTCCTCAATATTGGGGAGACTAACTTTTCCAGAAGCAAAGCACATACCATTTGGTTCATCAACCCATTTTTTGGCAGAACACTTAGAGCAGCTCTTATTCATGGCTCCGATTTGGACAAAAGACTGTTGAGCTTAATGCATTAAAGCTGATCTGTTACTGTGAGCTAAAATCGATTACGATCTCTAATCGTTGACGTTTGTTGTCTTTCCCTCTAATCTCCTACGGGTTGGGAACGCTCAGAACTCGACTCCCTAGTGTGAATTTGTATATTTACTTGACTCTCTCCGACTTTTAAGACTATTTTCAGTTTCCGGTAAAGATTCCTCATTACGACGTAGTTTTGATGCCCTCGCCTGGAAACTATTTCTAGAAAGATGAGATCTTTAAAATGATAAAAAAAATTAAACTGCCTTTGTATTTAATAATATGCTAACTATTGAACAGGAATTACCAGTATAAATGTGATTGAAAAATTATAAGAACTACTAAGTCAGTCACTAAACTGTTTGGATAGCTAAATTCCAATATACTAACATTTTTAAACTTGTGATATCTCTCGAATGGAAAGTCCGAATTTAATAATTTTAAAAGTTATATAAAGATATTGAAACAGTCTTAAGTATGAAGTAATTTATTTTTATAAGGATTAACACCAAGATACAAATAAAGAGCCTTTTCTAGCGGCGGCATTTCAATCAAAATTTTAAAATAAAATAACACTTATTGTGGCATAACCATAATAGTTAGACATATGCTGTCGCGACACTTTTTGTAAATAATGATGTGTTCTGCAAAGTCGTAGTACATTATTTTATTCTATCATCAATAGTTTTCGCAGCGCACGCGATGTAGAGAATATTTTTGGTAATTTTTGTACACTTTGGGTTACATTATTGAAGTTTTAGTAAGGATCCCTATTTTTTTTGAAAATATAATATAGCCTATATCAAGCAGGGATAATGTAGCTTTCCAACAATGAAAGAATTTTTCAAATCGGTTCAGTAGTTTCAGAGCCTATTCAATACATACAAAACAATCAAATCTTTCCTCTTTATAATATAGAAGATTGTACAAATGTAATAAAATATATTGACATTTATTTTTTAACTAGCAACTTGTAACACTATTTCATATAACGTACATACAATTTAATTATTATTACCCTTTTTGTGGACTACAACAAGTAGGTAAACTTTCTTTAATTTTATGAATTCTGCTGTAGCCACGATTGCAGTGACGTAATTATGTGATGGCGCCTAGTATTTTTTTTTTATCTGGTCTGCTAGTGTTCTTGTATAGTGCCTTCTCCGTCGCACGCAGTAAGAAAACAGAGTTGCGTTGCAGATGGCGTTCGACGAAGGCTGAATTGAACCTAAAACTCCCGAAGACAACATTCCACTGACTATACTATATTTCAGCTTGAAAATTGTAACGTACAATTAAAAATCCATTATTTTAAACATGTTTCTCATAAAATGTTACTTTTAATAAAATAGTATTTTGTACTTCTGCACGAAAGAATAAATGGAATTTTCAACAGGAACGTGTTTGTACTCGAACTTGCTCCAATATAAATGTAACACCTCAATATGTAATGAAACAAACTGTTTACAATATGCGTATTATTTGAGGAAGATATATTTAAATGAACATAGTCCAAACGCATGTTTTCTAATTGTGCGGGATAACTTAGTTTAATAGTGTCTGTATAAGTAATTTACTATTTAATTCATGTAACGTAAGTCGAAATAATTGCTTAAAACTTTGCTTAAAACTTGCTTAAAACTTGCTTATTTTAGATTGGCTATAAAAATGTCTGTATAATAAAATACTATAAGATTTTAATTGTATAACTGGTTTTATATGACTATTAACACATATGTTGTGAAATTAGTGCGATAAAATAATTAGGGAAAAAGTGTATTTTCATAGTGTCATCGTAATTGATAAAACAATTAATTTAATTATTTGTAATCTAGTCATAAGACCTAACGCACCAAGAGGGTGCCAAAGAAAAATGTAAGCTCTCTGATTGGATACCAATACGACAACCAATCAGAGAGCAGGAATTAATTCCCACAGGATCGCATAAATATAGCGGCGTTTCGGGGCATCATCGCAGTCGACGAGCATCAAGATCTACCAGTGGAACAAGCAACTAGAAGAAGTCAGCAAGAAAGAAGCCCTGCAGCCTGGAAGAGGAGGAGCCTGCAGCTATTAGAAGAACGTTTTATTGCATAAGAAAAAACTTGTACAAACGTCTGAAAATAAACAGTGTTCTTTCTGTCTTCACGACATTCTTGTTTCTTTACCAATCCAGCACACTGAAATGTGCATTGCGCACACTAATTTATAGCTAATTAAATCGCTTTGACGATTACAATTAGCAATTGAGACAAATTAATTTAAATTACAAAAATCTAAGAAATTCATGTCAGCGTGAGCATGGTGTTTTTGTCTTTTTTCCGATATACGCTCGTTCCTGTTACTCAAAAGTAATAATGACAAATACCTGTTAGGTACAAAATAACAGGCTGTTATTTCATACTATGTTGTAACAATTTGAGTAACTGTTATTATAGAGTAACATACTGTAACAGCATCATTATTTTAACCATTTTAGGGTTCCGTACCCAAAGGGTAAAACTGTCTGTCCGTCTGTTACCAGGCTGTACTTATGAACCGTGATAGTAGACAGTTGAAATTTTCACAGATGATCTATTTCTGTTGCCGCTATAACAACAAATACTGAAATAGATGATAAAAGAAGCACGAATGAGCAGGTCCGTCCGGGTAAGTACCACGACCTCACAGAAGACCGGCGTAAAGTGGAAGTGTTACAAATATAAGCGTTAAAATCTCAGTGT